GAGCTGTCCATGGTCATCTTGATTAGGCGTACGAGCTTCTGAGGGATGCTTAGCTCCTCCAAGGCACAGTATAGTTGCGTTCTATCAACGCTGTCGTATGCTGCTTTAAAGTCCAGGAATAGATGGTGGGTGACTACCTTACGCTCCATAGTCTTTTCTAGGATCATCCTCAGAGAGAACAGTTGATCAGTGGTTGAGCGTCCTCTTCGAAATCCAGCCTGATATTTCCCCAGTTCCTTTTCAGAATACGGGAGGATCCTCTCAAAAAGAATGTTAGAGAGCAGCTTATAAGCACACGAAAGGAGTGAGATTCCTCGATAGTTAGCGCATTCTGTTTGATCTCCTTTCTTATGTATTGGGCAGATAATGGCTGTTGCCCATTCCGTAGGCATAGCTTCCCTCTCCCAGATGGTCAGCATTAAATCATGCAGAGCTTTCTTGAGTTCTTCACCTCCACATTTCAACAGCTCTGACTGGATTCCGTCCGGACCTGGCGCCTTTCCATTTTTCAATTTCCTCAGGGCGTTTTCCATTTCCTCCTCATCCGGGGGTTCAATAGAATTCAGGGAGTCTTCCTTCATTACACCTACTTCTCCAGGCACCGTTCCTCTGTTTAATGCGCCTTTGAAATGTTGTACCCATCTCCTTAGTACGTCATCTTTGTGGCTTAAAAGAGTTCCATTCGTGTCTTTGCATGCCGTCACTCTGGGCCTGAAAGCTGCCCTACCCTCGTTTATTCTCTGAAAGAACAGGCGACTTTCATTTTGGCCGCGCAATGCCTCTGTGTCCTCCATGTTCTTATTTTCCCAAGCTCTTCTCTTTCCGCGGAATAATCTCTTCTCTTCGCGTCTTTTTCTTCGATATGTTTCTTGGGAGAGCCTTGTGGGACGCTGAACCTTCTTTCTGTAGGCTTCATTTTTCACTTTTACTGCTTGAAGGCACTCAGCATCAAACCATGGGAGCCTTCTAGATTTAGTCTCGTAGCCAAGAGCTTCTTCTGTTGCCTGTTTCATTGCGTTGCTGCATCTCTTCCACTGTTCATCGACCATAGAGCTGTCATTAATTACTTCTTCATTAAGTTTCGTCTCCACAGCTTGTTGATATAAATATTGGTGGTCTGAGTCCTTAAGTTTAACCACATCAATCTTCTTCTTTGGTCGTTGGTAGTGGTTTTTAATCAGCGAAATTCGTGATCTGACTTCGGCAATGCTCAAATAGTGATCCGTGTCCATATTTGCACCTCTATAAGATCTTGCATTTATCATGTTGGACTTGTGACGGGCACTAATGAGTACATGGTCTATCTGTGATGCTGTTTGCCCATTTGGAGAGATCCATGTTGCTTTGTGGATATTCTTTCGAGGAAAAAGAGTTGTTCCAACAACCAGTCCGTGCAATGTAGCAAAGTTCACCATCCGTAGCCCATTATCATTACTGGTCTCATGCAAGCTGTGGGTTCCTATGGTCGGCATGAGTGCCACCTCCTTACCAACTTGGGCGTTAAAGTCACCAAGAATGATTTTAACATCATTTTTGGGGCAGCTTTCTGTCACGCGTCCAAGTTCTTCATAAAATGCTTCCTTATCCTCCTCAGGTGACACCTCTGTTGGGGCATGGCAGTTGATCTGAGAGAAATTAAAAAATTTTCCTCTAAGCCGAATGTAGCATAACCTTTGGTTAATGGGAGTAAATCGCATCACTAGCTGTCGAGCTCTGCCTCTCACAACAAATCCGGTACCGAAGACGTGATGCTTTTCATGGCAGCTATAGTAGAGTGTATGGTACTTCTTCTCCATAATTCCCTGTCCTATCCATCGGACCTCTTGGATAGCTGCTATGTCGATTCTGTATGTGTCCACTTCTGCAAGGAGCGCACGAAGTGCTCCTAGTCTATGTAATGATAAAATGTTCCAAAATCCAATTCTTAGGTCATTTAGGCGTTTCCTGGGTCTGTTACCGTAATTCAGTCCGGCTTCTTCTCTTTGAGGTTTCGTAATAAGGTACTTTAGGGGGGGGGAGTGGGTTATCAGCCCACTGCCCCCGAGTCAGGTAGAGGGGCTGCCTCCTCCGAGCATCCTGACTAGCTCCCCCATCCGGGGCGGCTACCTAGGGAAGGTGAGACCCTAGGGTGTGTACTGTAGGTGACTTTTGTCTGTAGTGTTTAGGTGTTGTAGTGTGCTGTATAAAGTGTACTTGGTGTGTGAGTGTTCGTGTAAGTGTTCCCCCAACCTGGAGGGCAAGTGGCTGGTTGCGGTACAATGACCGGGCGATGGGACCGCCATCTCCCTACGCCAAGAAATTGTAATTGTAGTGTTACGGTCTTTAATTTCGGTTCTGCAACAAACTTGTCGGATGCTCAGTGGAGACGGCGGGGTTCGCAAAAAAAATTAATCAAGAGTCAATTACATATTAATAACTATCTAACAGCGCCACTATTTAATTTGTTGAATTTGGAAAATAGCGAAAACCATAAAAAAAAAATAAATAAATCAAATAAATTTAATTAAAAATAAAAAAAGATTAGGATGCGGAGTGAGCTACGAACTCGGAATCTATGGGTTTAAAAACATATGTTAATTAACCTCATAACCTATCGAACCTTCTTACTTGGTTAATAATGACTTTCCCTAATCCCTCGAATAGAGTTTTACAATTCCTTATTAAACATAAAAAAAAACAATGTTATATATACATAAAACATGAAAACAAACAGAAGAAAAATAAGAAAATAAAACTGGCTATTATTAATACTAATGATGAATTTACTTATTTCTATTAATTTAAATAACTGTTAAAGGAAATGAAAATTATGAACAAGAAATTAGATTTATAAGAAAACAAAGAAAATAAAATAAACTTTAATTATAAAAAAAAAGGACATAAAATCATTATAGAACTAAACATTAACCTACAACTATACAATATAGCAATTACAAACATTTGGAAATAAAAATAGATAGAAAAAAAAACTTATATGTACATATTTACAAAATCTCAATGCCGAACTTTGTCCAATTGGCACATTGAGTTATCTGAGGAAGCGATAACTTATTCGAACTAGCTTCGTCAGTGTCTCTCCAGTCAAGTTGTGAAAATGTTCATTCACCAACTTGTAAGATCAAGCGGCACTCGTCGCTGATAATCACAGGTCTATGAATAGCAAAGAAAATCCGGTGTACACCGTAAAATTAAAATATTTCACACACAAAAATCCTTAGCGTGCCTCAACACTCGCGAGGTTCCGCCATCTCTCTCAACTGTCTTTTGTTTTTACTCCCAATCAGCTGTTGGCTGTTACACTGACTTAAATATAATATTTACAACTAATACTTAAAACTAAGACTTATTATAAACAATTACTTATTATTAAAACTAATACTAAATACTTAATTTTATATTTAACCCTCTTCGAGTTTATAAAAAAACTTATTATTATTTATAAAAACTAAAAATTATTTTACGAACTAATTTTTTTTTTCTATTTTATTTTTCGTCACAGTAGTACTGTATGCCACTGAATAAATGTCTCATTGCGTCGACATGAGGCCTCTATGATCGAGAGAGGAGGAGTTTCTATTATTTGTCGATGGTGTTTTTGATCGGCAAGCCATATCATCGTTAATTCTTCACCAAATCTCAAGATTGAGCCACCAATTTCGAAGGCTTTCCTCCTTCAGCCGGGCAAAATAGTCTAATCACCCCGAAAATTCAGGCAAACAAGTCATGAAAGAAAACAAACTTTATTTGCGAATAACTAAAAAATTACACACTTTTCCCTTGGTTATGCCCATGATTATATAAAACATTACTAAAATCCCTACAAAAAGAAAAAAAAATCATCGAAATCGGACAATTTTTAGTTAAGATGCAGCTTATTGAAATTTGTAAACATGTTGGTTCCAAACATTAATGAAGATTTAAATTAATTTTTGTTTCCTTTGTCGATTATATTTATCGATAAAGTAACAATTGATTTCTTTATCTTTTGATACATTGCATTATTTTATTTTATTATTAATTTGGTATTTGATAACAATATACTGTGCGAATTTTTCGCACGGGCCTACTAGTATTACATATTTAAGTTATGTCCATGACTGAGATGTTACAGCAACTTTTTCAAGGAAATCGGCTAACCGGAAGTGGCACTAGTATTTATTAGGAAGAAAAAAGATAAATACCCAAAGCAAAAATTCTCGAATAGGTATCAAAGCAAATAATAATTACTAGAATACTAGGTATAGTAGTAAATGATAAATTTATTATATCTACCTTGATTCATTGATACATAAATTCTCTACCTAACAAAATTCGGCATTCCCCCTCCATATCCACATTCAAATCCCTCCTATTCCAATTCCTATCCCAAAAACAGTCAGATACTTGCTAAACTTTCGATATTATACATTTCTAGTCATCATCAAACGACAGTGCTATTCTATACTGAGAACTTCACTAGGGATATTACAATATTTTCCGGCTCGTAATGCCACTGACCGCATCTATTGTTTGTTTTTTTATTTTTATTATTATTTTTTATTGGTATATAATTAAATCTGTACCTCTAGCATTTGACAATGATGAGTCTACATATTATTCATTATTTAAAGACACTGATATTTTATATTGTCAGCTTTGTCTTTTCTTTGTTAGCAGAAACACACCTCATTTTAAAGAAGAACTCAATGTATTTTTTATTATTTTATTTTTCAAAAGACTATAATTATAATTTTTCCTTCTGTACATAGTCATAAGTGTTTTATCATAGTTTTAAGTGTTTTGTAAATAGATTTATTTTTATTTTTATTTTTTTTGTATATAGCTTGTTTAACTAATATTTTCTTTACTTTCTCGTTTTTATTATTGTTTTATTTTGGCCAGATGTAGTATTTTAATTATGTTCTACTTTGTTATTCTAAAGGGACTTTGTCCCAGAATAAAGTTATTTTCTATTTCTATTTCTATTTCTAAATAATTTTTGAAATAATTTTATATTCCAGACTGGCTTGAATTCAGCATTCATGGGCTGTATGATATACGCCTTCCTGGGAACCATCAAAGAAGTTGTTATAGGCCCTTCAAGTCTAATGGCCCTCCTCACCTATGAATACACTCACAAACTCAACTTGGATTTCGTAGTGCTCCTCTGCTACCTCTGTGGTATAGTGGAATTCGTCATGGGAGTATTTAGGCTCGGTAAGTAAACATTTAGAGCTGTATGAAAAAATACATGGGGTTCTACTGAAATATTATAACTCCAGAAGAAGGTCAATATATGTAAGTTTTAACTGCTATTATGCAGTGATCTATATTCTTACATAGAACGTTTCCTCAGCTAATGACAAGGAATGAGAAATATCCGGACATCATGAACGGTTTGGAAAAGATAAAGACAATAATAACTTGGTTTATTTCGAATACTATGAGCAGACCTAACAAAAATAAAAACAGTAAAAGAAGCAAAAATAATATTGGTATTAATATACCTATAGATAGCATCACAACCTCTCATAGTCGCAGGCTGAGTGACATATGTGGATACATAATAATAATAATAATAATACGAGGCTTAGCGAACCCGATAGTTCATGAAGAAATGATCAATCACTTATTACATATTTCCCTCCACCGTTCGCCGTCCAAACCCGGATCGGCTTTAACGCAACCTTCCCACCTTCGCTTCGGTCTACCCCTACCCTAGAACGTTTACCATTCGGTATAGCAAATATAAACCTTTAACATTAAATATAAAAGTCCAACAATTTTACAAGCCCATTTGATTCGCCGCTATGTAATCACCTCAGTTATATTAACAGGATATAGTTCATGCAATTTAGCGTTGTGTAACCGTCCGAACTCTCTGGTTAACTAATTCTTCTTCCGTTTGAATATTCTAAGCAATACTTTACTTTCAAAAACCTTAAGACGTTGCTCATCCCTTGATTCTAGCGGCCACTTTTCGCATCCATAAAGAACCATAGGTAGGATAATGCTTTTATAGATTCTAATTTTTAAGTTCCGAGACAAGAGGCGCGAGCTAAGTAATTTTGTCACAGAAAAATAACAAGCATTTCCCGCCTTCATTCTTACTCCAATCTCCTCTCAAATTTCGTTTTTTCTAGTTATTGTAGACCCTAGATACGTAAACATCTCAACGTGTTGAAATATATTACCTTCTATATCGATATCACCGGAGTCATCCCCATTTTTTCAGCAAACCATACATTTTGTCTTATCCGTGTTTATTTCGAGCCCTAGTTATTTAATGGCTTTCATTAAATAACTTGTTGTCGTATTCAGTTTTATAGTCTCCGTATCTTCGCTTAATAGGACCAGATCATCCGCATATCCGAGCATGGGTGTTGTCCCACCCAGATTCAACCCTTTTTCGGTACGCATTACGCACCTGTCTAATGGCATGTGTTATATGTGGATTAAAGAAAAAATACAAGTTTAAAAACTAATGTACCTATTACAGTTCAATCAACATTTTGTAGTTAACCAACATTTTAAAAGTTCTTGTATGTTGCATTTATCAATAACGCTATTACCTCTTACAGAATCAAAAAAATTATATTTATTTACTTTTTCATTCAGGTTTCCTAGTGGAATTCATCTCTGCTCCAGTAGTCTCCGGCTTCACTACTGCCACTTCAGTCATTATCGTCGTATCCCAGCTGAAAGGACTCATCGGAATCAATTTCGAATCTAACGGCTTCGTGGACAATCTTTATCAAATCTTTATTCACTTGCATAACCTTCGCTGGGGCGACACTATCCTAGGAGTATTCTGCGTGATTATTCTTTTAATAATGAGGGTAAGTTGAATATCTTTATTGGTATAGACTTCTTCCTTATCATATTATAGAAGAGAGAAGTGCAATAAAACTGTACAGCTGCTGTTGAATTATGTCGTGTTGCTAAAATGACCAAGCAGACTGATCAGTCCCAATAGATAATATATATTGAGAGAGAACAAAAAGGATAAAGTTTTGCAGTCCCACCGTCCAATGTACCGAATATTATAATTAATTTATTTTATAGTTTTCACATTTACATTTATCATATTTAAACCTGTAAGCTGAATCATGAACTTTAATTTTATTTTGTAAGCATCTACTCCTATAAAAATTAGTCCTTTACTAAGTACCATAGAAAGGGATGTAGATAGAATTAGTCATTTCTAAGGCTTCGATATCATTCCATGTTACTTATTTTAGATGTTACTTATAACTGTCAGTAATGGTTCTAAGCTGAATAAAACATTTTCCATCTCCTGATCCTGATTTCACTGACGATAATCTTATTTATGTGCAGAAAGCAAAGGAGTTGAATGTTCCGGAGACCTGGAAGTACGTCAATTTTGTGAAGAAGGCGCTGTGGCTTTTGACCTTAGGAAGAAACTTTTTGATTGTAGTTGCAACCTCCTTCATAGCTTACCTTTATAAGAACAACGGTTATCAGGCACCTTTCTTAACCTCAAGTTTGTATCTAACAAAATATATAAACAAATTATGTCATAACCGAAATTAACTGGGTATTAAAGCATGAGAAATGTTGTTATTTTATTTTTGAGGGGAACACATTTTACCGGGGTTATGCAGTTTTTAAATAAAAGTTTCAAAGCAGTGGACAAGAGGAAAACACAACAGAACACTGAAACTGCAATTGTATATGACTTATGATTTTAAATATTCTACTTTAGCTTGCATTATTAAGAAGAATAAAATATCATGAGAGGAAGGGGGATGTTCATGAGATATCGACCTTTGGGGGGGGGGGAGATAGATTTTACGAAAAATAGATTTTAAATTACATTATGTATTTACACTATTCAAAGAAGTGATAATTAATTTTTCTAGAATTACTGATTATGTCCTATTGTGGATTGGTAAACTGGCCTATAGTACATTGTTTTGTTTAGTGTAAACCAAAAATATTTATGTTGAAACTTTCAGAACCAGTGGAGGGTGGTATTCCCAGCCCGATTCTTCCACCTTTCAGCACTCAGATAGGCAACAAGACCTATGATTTGGGGGAAATGGTCGCGGAGTTGGGAACAGGCTACATCATCATCCCCATCATAGCTGTCCTGGCAAATGTAGCCATTGCAAAAGCTTTTGGTGAGTAAATTGATGTCGATATTTTTAAACCTCTCAAACTCTAACTATCCCTCCCCAAAAAATAGCAAATCAAAGAACATATTTTTAAAAATGTTAATGGCATTATTCCTATATTCTAGTGAACGGACCTGTTGAAGCCACACATGAGATGTTGACTCTTTCGATATGCAACGTTATTGGCTCTTGCGTTCAATCTATGCCGACTGCGGGTGCCTTCACCAGATCTGCTGTGGCCAGTGCCAGTGGTGTTCGAACACCAATCGCGGGCCTATATTCCGGTATTTCATAACATTTATAATTAGAAGATGAAACAATATTTGCTAATATACGAAGTGTGGCTATTAAATAACGAGAATGCTGCTGTAAAACATTTGTATTGTAGAGAAAGAAGACTTACAGCACTGTTTTAGACTATGGAATATTGGCATAAAGCATATTAGGGTACAGTGGTGTATATTTAAGGTTATGTATGATAAATGAATTTTCATTTCATTTCATTTCACCTAGAGTCAAAACAGCTCGAATGAGAAAATCAAAAGCAGTGATGATTGTTTTTTATTGTATTCTAAATATTTTCCACCTTCCATAGGTGTCTGAAGGTCGAAGTATTGATCAACATTACTACCTTAACGTTATTGCTGAAACAGTAAGCAGCAGACCTCCTGAAGGAACTGATAGAAGTAGACTTCCAGCACAGTTTCAAACATTGGAAGATTGGCGAGCAATGTTATAGAGGTAGAGGAAAAGAATGTGTCGAGATATGTATATGCAGAAAGGCAGTATGAGAAAGTTATCAGAAGGCCTCGACAGTGCGTGTTCAGTTAAGAGGAGTAAAGATGACTGATTGGATGAAGGAAGGTGTTTAGATGGATGGCCTCAAGTGACAGGCGGATCAGCACCCAATCACTCTCGGACCCGCGGTGTAAGGGATCAGCCTTAACACTCCTGAAGGATGGTAACCACAACCGGAGGGATCAAACTCCGGACTTGTGAGAGGATGAGATATTGACGGAGGAATCAATCTCCAGACTCAATGTAGAGGACTGCAAGCGGACAGATCAGCGTCCAATTTACATGGAGATAGAGAAGAGGATAAAGGTTTCAGGTAGATGATAAATAAGATCAGCAGACTGAGGTGAACCTAAAGCGTATAAGTTAAACTAAGCGTATAACCTAAAGATACTGACCGTCTGCATATAGGTTTACACCCTGAAGGGGTGGAGCTCCGTAGACCTGTTAACTAGAGGTTTGACTGGGATATTCATTCCGCCAAGACCAAACCGGCTACCAAGAGCCGTTACTATAACAATTATTTTGAGCTTTGGTCAGTATATGTTATTGCCATTGAAATTTATTAATAGAAGTATTTACAATGAATATACATATTTCAATTTACAATTTAAGTATTTTATAATACAACAATAAGAAACAAAAGATACAATTTTAGTATGTTGCACGGGCGAGCTTGTAGAGCGCTGCCTGGTAGTGAGAACGGAAAATATACCGGAAACTGTTGTCGCAACAAATGTATTTGAGGATGATAAATACAAGTAAATGTGAAATAAAAATAGAATATGTGATGTCCGGAAATCACTTCAGGAAACAAATGAGGCTATATTGATAAATATTTACACCACAAAACACGTTTATTCCTCTACAGAAACATCACACAATCAGGAACACTATTATCACTATTCATTATTAATACACACTATTAATACTCTCTGGGTAGCTTCACCCAAGCCAACTGCTTTGCTTACAACAGCTCAGCAATGTTGACAGATAGCATGCATTAACTCTACACACTCTCACTTTTACAATTTACGCTTTAAATTGTAAACTAATTTAAAAAAAAAAAAAAAAAATTTAAATATTCAATACAAAAATTTGCAGTCTACATCATTAGTTTAATAACACTTAATAAACTACTTTAACAAATGTTTTCTGCTCCCTTTTTTAGTCTTAATAAGATCACTGGCTAATAACGTTCCGAGATACTCTATACTTCTTAGCAGCTCTTTTTTTTTTTTTCTTCTCTTCCAATTTTGGAAAACGTCTTTAGAGGACAATGAAGAATTATTCGTACCACCAGTTGTTACTTGTACTCCTCTCCATGTACTTTCCTGACTAAGATATGGTTCTGAAGGGGACCTTTGGCTGACGACAGACCTGATATTATCTCTTGCGATGTTCCTGGAAAGACTGTTTCCAGCTGCTGGTGTGACAGATGATTTAACTCTAAGGGGTTGTATGATTGGTGGAATTATTGTTATACAATATGCATTAACTCTACAGAGTGTTTTGCAGCATACGTATCGTTATTTCATAGCCACAGCTCGTACATGCCTTCTTATATGAAATTTAATATGTACATATTGTTGGTTGACCGTATGATAAATTAAGGCAATGGTCTGATGGTCGGTAACTAACATCAAATCAATTATAACTATTAGATGTTATTTTTACTGACCCCGTACCTTCTTAAATATATGTATTCTCCCTCTTAAATATGAATGATTAACTGGTCCTCAGTAAAGTACATTATTACTCCTGTCAAATTTTTGTTTCAGCCAGTCTTATCTTGATGGCTCTGGGATTCCTTGGACCTTACTTCCACTACATTCCAAAAGCAACTTTGTCGGCTGTACTTATAGCTGCTGTAGTGTTTCTCATTGATTGGAAAATCTTTCCCTCTTTGTGGAAAAAGAGCTGTGAGTAGTAATCTACTCATGCTTAAATTTTCCTTTAAAATAAATTTGGTTGTTTTATTTTAATTATCAGTTATTATTCAATATTTATGTATAGTGTAATTTTAAATGACAGCTGCCATAAGAAAACTTTGTAACAGGGTTGGACTTCTCCTGTGTGACAGTTACGCTGATCAGTTGCCTCGCATTTGGAGTAGAGATAGGACTTCTGATCGGAGTGTTGATGGGTATCATACATCTGATCTACAAGGCATCCAGACCTCCACTCAACATAGAACCGGGGAAGGTATTTCTCGAGTAATTCTGAATAGTTCGTATTGCTTGAAATCCATCACTTTAATATGCTCAGTGTTTACTATTTGATTCCGGTCTGCTTTATAGTCAGCATCTTCGAATAAAATAGTCAAATGAATTTATTGTATAATAACATTGTCTTTTTAGTAAAAGATGTAAGACGACTAAACTTCCATAACTTCTAAAATAATTAACAATTATATTAAATAAAATATTTATAACAGGAATTGGTAAGGGTGAGTGGTAGGAATGGCCTATACTTTTCAGCAACCGACTACTTCAACGATCAGCTTCAAAGGTACGCTTCTGGGTCTGGCACAGTTGCTATCGACTGTTCCACCTTCTCAGGGATTGACTTCACAGCAGCCAAGGTATATATTAAAAATCATTATTTTAATAAAGTCATTACATTTATATATATTTATTTAAAATCAATCTATGTATTTTATATAGATGTTGCCATAATCTTCATTAAGCATAATCAGTGTCTTGTCTTCTATATTGGATCACTATTCTGTTCTTTGATTAATTTATTCTTTATCTTGGAGGGCCTTGCATCATTGATAAACTCCTTCCAAAAAAGAGGACAGAAGTTGGTGCTGGTCAGTGTTCCAAAGGAGTGGAAAGAACTGCTGCTCTGCGCTGGAGTCAAAGGTGGTTGTATTCAAAGTGAGCCAATGGATGACATTGATAGTAAGTATACTTAGAATGATAGGAGTCCAAGAAAGTAGGAAACATTAGCTAACAATTTATTTTATTTAAATGTATTCAATGTCAAAACATATTTCCCACAATCAGTATAATTATCAACAATTGTTGTTAAAATGTAATCATTTCTTCAGATGTATAGTGTATAAGATCAGTTTCTCTGAGTAAAGAAGATGGTTCACGACAAATATGAAGTATTTTCTTATCATGTGTAGCTCCCATTTACCAAACTAATTACTGACTTAATACAAATGACATAACCGCCTCTTTGGTCATCTCTTTCATAATCTATAAGAAAATTAGACACTTGTCTAAAAGAAAAGCACCAGGTTGCGATTCGATAAATGTTTAAACGGTCCAACATAAAACTGGAAGTCATAGTTTCTTACAATCACATGAATTTTTATACTGAGGACAACTAAAATACTTATACATATTAATATATCAAAATTATACATGCTCACAGATACACAACTAAAATATCAAAGTGGATTCTGCGACAATGAAGGTTTATTGAGCATGATTTTTCACCTCCAAATCTCGTTTTGCTGACCCTCAAGGGCCAAAATAATGGCTCTTACATCCCCATTTGCAATAACCATCCCGACCATGGTGGAAATCTGAAATTAGTTTATATAGATTTAAGCTCCGAAGAAGGTTTTTGATCTCAGTTCTTTCAACTGAAACTGAAAAATTCGGTACGTCATTAGCCTTAGCATAACTAACAAAGATATGACCAAAAAAAAAAAATTCAAAGCTATTTATGTCACACAATACTACCGCTATGATTGCTAGCAAACCTTGGCTACCAACTAGCGCAACTAGAGCAACACTTCAGCCTTCTTCAATAACAGGCGATCGATGTAGTTGGAGATTCAGACTGTTCAGACGGTAGTAACCTATATGATAACCAATAATCTTATTGTCTAAGATGAAGTACCTAATCGCGTTAAATTTAATTAAAAAATTCTAATTTAGATACTGATTTTTTTGTAAGGGTGATAAATATTCAGGACGCAGCCTTTTTTAAAAAAAAAAATTTTATTTTTTATTTGTACCAACGTTTCAACCCAAACATGTGGGTCATCTTCAGGGCGTGGTTTGAGAACTGAGGGTGTTCAAGTATTGGCTGAATAACTTTTTTGTAGTTATTCTATAACCAACATTATATATACATCTATAATCAACAATAAGTAAAAATTAAAAAATGTTTTTTCTTATGTTTTTCTATTTCAGGTGAGAATACACAACCATTGCTGCAAATTGAAGAACCAACAAACACTGAAACATATAGGCATTCTGTTAGGGAAACTGCTCAAAGTGCATAGTGTTCGAAATCGATCACTGTTGAATTTGTAATATTTTCCAGTAGAACTAAGTGCTATTAAAAAGTCTTATATTGTTACAAAAATGTTGTTGTAAATAAATTATTTTTTATTACATATTTTTTTTATTTTATAATATAAAAAAAGCCTGTGGTAAAAACTTCTTTAAAAAACTGTTTAAAGATTATATATATATATGAAACCAGGGTAGTTTTTCTAATCTTACAATCTTAATAGACCATCATTTTAGACGTGACCATTGCAGTTAACGGTGTAACTGAATGAGGTTATTTAAATTAAATAAAATTCATAATGAAATCGATAGACTTCCAAAAAAAGAGCCCCCAAACAGTGTCACATGATTTTTTCATGCTTCACCACAATAAGCCGTTTCCTCGCTTACATTTTTTATACCGTATACGCATAACTTATTTTTTATTTCTTTAGAAACTACCAACAATTAGTATCATTTCTAACCCACCACTGGCACTTCATCATAACACTATATTGTACTTTTATATTATTTTAAAAACATTTCGTAAATTTTATAAAACCTATCCTACCTTGGTAAGACTGTTTTCATAAAATAGATCCTACCTGTTTTGCTTATGAAAAAAAAAGAATTAGGCTCTTCGATTTTTCATGAAACAAAAAGGACATTTGGTTATGTGAGGCACCTACCTTGAAAAATAAAATCACACAAACCTTCTACCTGCTTTCTATTTTTTAAATCTTTCTTCCTTGGTAGATTTTTCATGTTGCCGTTGATTCTTCCAAAGTTGTACAGAGTTGTGTTTTAATCCCTCTTCTTTATTTCCTGTACGCGTGCCTAAAACAATACTGTGTCCCCACCAAAAAAAATCCATCTATCACAGTACATAATCAACCACTTAATTTTGAAAAGTGTTGTGAAAATTAAAATAAATGCCAAAAAATTAAGTCACGTGATCTTTCTTCTATGGAAAGCTTCATTTATACTTCATTGACCTTTAGAAGACTACGATAGGAACGGTATCTCGGACCGAAGACTTACCGTTCCCTTGGCATCAACTAAGTTGCCTGAAAAGAGAGATCACCATCATACACTTTACGCGTGGTTTTTCAAGAAAGATGACCAGTCAGTTTTACCATTAGGCTTGTGTGATATTCCTTTGGTTAGTTGGTTTGTTTCATATTAAGTTATAAGTATGGAGATTTATACTACAGGTAGTCGTAAATATGCCTATATTATAGTCTAAAATTAAATCATATAAAATATTTATTATTATGTTATATGTTTTGTCTACAGAAAAAAATTATTTCATACACAATATATGATATACATTATTTTGTATATATTCTATAATGTGGAATAAAACATAAAGGAATGTACTACATTTGATTTATCTGGAGATTTCAAAGGCAAAACAAAATACAGTCATCAATAATATATATGTATTTTATATTTGACTTCTTAAAATATAAAATATACAAAAAAAGTACTTTTAGTCCGTGGTACAGGCCCCTTTTTATCCAATTATTAACATCCGCCTGAAACTTCGTAAATAGTTTCATCTCATCGTAACCTACAACTATATAATTTACGGAAATCCTTGGAATTAGGGCGTTTTCAATATGGTGGGGGCAAACTTCTTTTATTTAATTAGCTACTAAAAACTCATGAATACTTATTTGTTTTCTTCTTGGATCCTAAAATAATTTGAACACAAAATCGAGAAAAAAAGTGGCCTACAAAAATATTGGGCCGTTTGACATGACCTACACTCCCAAATTTTCAGGACAAACGACCCAATATTTTTGTAGGCCACTTATTTTCTCGATTTTGTGATCAAATTATCTTATGATCAAAGTAGAAAGCAAATTGGTATTTACGAGTTTTTAGTATATAATTAAATAGACAAAGTTTGTCTCCCTCCAGATTGAAAACGCCCCATTTCCAAGATTTTTCGTATATAACCTTGTTATTTTAAAATTTTGGGGGTGTATGTCATGCCAAACGGTTCAATATTTTTGAAATCCACTTTGTTTTATATCGATTTTGTGAACAATTATCTTACGATCCAAGCAGAAAGCAAATGGGTATTTACGAGTTTTTAGTACCTAATGAAATAGACAAAGTTTGCCTCCCTCCAGATTGAAAACGCCCCAATTCCAAGATTTTTTGTAAATAAAATAGTTGTAGGTTACGATGAGATGAAACTATTTACGAAGTTTCAGGCGGATGTTAATAATTCAATAAAAAGGGGCCTATACTACGTTCTATGTATTTTGAATTTCCACTGTATTCTCTGGGAATATTGTCCATCTGATCTTAAGATATAGTGTTTTTTGCTAAGTGCTGTGCAGGATAGCCAATCCTTTTAGCTGTAGGGGTTGATCACATCCAAGACAAAGGTGTAGCATGCTCTCTCCTTATATTATATGGTGTTATGCTACCTCCTTATAGTACAATTCCTGGGATCTCCTAGGGGTAATAATTAATATGGGAAAAACAGGCAGTTGAGCATGATATCGTCCCGATTCCCTCTCGTCACAACTGTCGGCCTAGAAACAGTGCTTTCTTACAAAGTACTTAATCCAAGAACTTTTATCATTGTAATGGTACAGATTTTTTTTAATATTACAGTTTTCTAAGAAATGTAGTTCGATTGCAAACTATGTTTGTTCGATTAGACAAATAAAAAAAAATAGGAGTACTAAATAGAATATCATCTGCTTTTTATAGATTTTATACAGGCAAGCATAAACAAGAAAGAACTAATGAAATTTTAGAAAAAATGAAAGCAATGATGGCCGCGTTTATAATAGTCGCGTTAATTTATGAAGCCCTGACTCAGGATCTAAATCATGATGTATGAAAAAGTCATAGCACCGTCTTTACCTATGATTCTGGGTCCTGGATGATATCTAAGGCGTCAAATATGAAACTAATAACATGGGAGAGAGTATGACTATACGAATGAAAAGATATAGGCGAGATCGGATTCGGTTTGTGAGGGTCTGATTGTTGGTTCATGTGGAACATTTGCCATAACAATCAATCATTAAAACCGTGCTCGAGGAACAAGCTGATGGAGGGCTTGGAAGAGGAAAAAGACGGTTACACGAAGTATATTTTATGAAAATAAAAAGATGGTAATGCTTTCCCGGGATAGGTAAATTGAAGATGATAACGACGACCTAGGCTTTTGCAGTAACGCAGCATCAAAAATATAAATAAAAAATACCTATATGATTTTTTTTCGGTGTTTCAATCTAAAATAATCAAATTAAATTGAATTGTTTGAATGGACATTATCCAGGATAAAAATCAAATAGTTTGAGCAAGATGACTGCAGGTAACTTTCTCTCAGAATAAAGGCTGATTTATTCAAGTGTTGATTATAAACCAAGGCGACGGTAACGCCTGCTTCCAAAACTTTTTAAATGAATATTAACTGTTGATTTTAAGGGTTATCTTACGGGTATTACCCAAAATATAGTCTGAATGTTATTCAATTTATCTCATTCGTTGAAAATTGTGTCATTGAATTGTAAATATTTATATATAATTTGAACACAGAATACAAAAACAATAGAGAATGATAAAATCTACAACGACAAAGCTAATTTACCTACTTCTGAAGCTCGGCAGATAAGATAAGCAGAAGGTAGTAGAACGCATTCCACTCTTTCGCAGATGGAGCTGCTCCAAAGACACATCCCCATTATCCGATGGCTGAGGAACTACACGAAGGAGGATGCGATATGCGACCTGATCGCGGGAATTTCCATAGGCCTCACCATGATCCCGCAGAGCATCGCCTATGCTTCCCTAGCAGGTCTTTCACCTCAGGTACATTTCGCAGCTTAAATTGTTTTTTAATCAATTTCATTTTAAATTAACTTCATTTTAAATTAATCTGAAAATACAAATATACAAAACACAGTTTAAAGAACGAAGAACTTAGACTCAAAGACATGTGTTTCAAATACCGTTCCTATGATACTAACAAAAAAAAACAAAAAAAAACAGGATACTTCCTATTTTTTGAGGATCGTTCTCAATGTACGTGTGTACATATAGGTATGGAGTACCATTCACTAATTAAAAAAACATGGACAAAAGTGTCATTCTGATTAGAAATGATCTAAGACATGTTTTCATATTTTCGCTACTCCCATATTCCCATAAAATAGTGGGAAATAATTATTCGGTGAGATAATGCGAGAAAAGTTGTAGTGTTAAATAAACTAAATACCATGAGCACTGTGTTATTAATTTAATTTTTATGAGAAAGTTTCTAATACCTGTATTTGGCTAGTATATTATAAAACCACCATTTCATAAAATACAATGATTGGGAACTTTTTATAGCATAGAACTTACTATAGTACTGCTATAACATTCGCGGATAAAAATGTTTTTTCTCTTTTTTTCTGGGAAAGGTTCTATCTTCGCATAACTCAAGAATATACAATTTATGGTTGCTTATACCCATGATAATTAGAAATATTTCCCAATTCCCTACAAAACATAAAAAAAACATCGAAAATCGACCATTTTATCAAAGATTAAGTCAATTGTAATTTTTGCAAATGTTTTAGTTTATGAAATCGAATTAAATTTATAAACATTTACCATCCTATACTTTATATAAAACATCTTTCAAACGTTCACAATTAATCTTCAGATATTATTTCTCGAAAGTTATAGGCCATTATTTTATTTCGGCATGGCATATCTTCCTTAAGTCTTCATCAAATTCAATGATTGAAGCATCAGTTTGAAGGTTATCTTCTCCTTTAGGTTTGATAAATAACACATCCTCTTGAAAAGTTATGGAGGCACCAAAAGTAAATTTATCTTCGCATAACTCAAGAGAATACAATTTATGGTTGCTTATACCCATGATAATTAGAAAGATTTTCCAATTCCCTACAAAAAGTAAAAAAAAACTTCGAAAATCGACCATTTTAGCAAAGATTAAGCCAATTTTTGCAAATGTTTTAGTCTATGAAATCGAATTAAAATCCATTCCCTTCCTTCATATTATATTGCATTTATTTATTTATATATTAAATTGCAATTTGTCCACCACTATACTACGCGAATTATTCGCATGTTTCAACTAATATGTTTAATAAAACAATAAAAAATATCAAAGTATACTTAAACTATGCAAGAATTAAATCCATAGTTGACCTCTGTATTTCATTACACATATTATGAAGATATACCTAAATTTCAAAGGTCTTAAAAATACATCATCAATCTATCTCGCCGTAGTTAGTTTATTTTTTATAACACTGTAAAACGTCTTACTTAAGTGAATCATACAAAATAATAATTTTTTTAAATTTACATTAATCAACAAAATTATTATTATACACTGGGTTTGAAATCGATGATTAAAAAAATAAATATAAATTCTGATCAAATTTTGTATCTGGAATTTTTAAAAATCATTCCATGATTTTTATTAGGAACGTTTTTCATTATTGATCATAGAAGATAAAAATCGTATTTTGATCATTATTTTTGAACGAAATCATTACAATTAATAATAACAATTCCTAAGTAATACTTAAACCATAAATATAATATTTTTGTAAACCCTATGATTTATTTTGATTCTGGAGTAGTAGGTATAGAATATTGTTGCAACAGAACGTCTTTATTTTCAAAACTCATCAGTAATTTTACCTAACAAAAATAAAATATGTTTGCGTATATATATAGTACAGGCACTACGTGTACAATTAAAGCGATTTCAGAAATGTAATATTAAAAAGTTTGTAAATTAATAAGGTATACTTTCACATTAAAATTTAAATTAATTTGTGTGTAAAAGGTGATTTTTAGTTTCTGACCAAAATTTTGTTTTATCACAATCTAATTATTATTATTTATGTAAAACCGGATCACTCAGTGAGGGATCATTATTTTTAATCGAATTAATAAACATCAAAAATCGATTCAAAATTTTATTTAAAATTTAAATAGTATATGAATAGTAAAAATAAATAGTAGTATATAACAAAATAAATAGTATATATATGTCTTAATTTTACTATTTATTTTCATTTCGTATATAACTTCATATTTCTTTTTTATGTTTTACATTTTATTCTAAGATTCCCATTGTAACACTTATGTCAGCCCTTTTTGATTACGCCTACTTCATCATTCCACACTTTGTAAAGGTTATTATTATTTATCTCTTAGTTCTTAGTCATTATTCTAACAATTTCATTTTACTTTATATTTTTTTATTTTTTTTTACCATCACTACTTATGTTTCTCATACCTTGTTATCTGGTTATTTTCTTAGCCCTGATGAAGGCTTGAACTTCAGGTCGAAACGTCGGCATATGTAAAAATAAATATTATCATTTATTTTTGCCTTCCTTTTTGACTGACCACCCCAACTATTCTTCTCTTCATTAATTAAATATTTATTTTATTTCTAAACAATTTAATAAATGTTTCAAGTAGAAGCCAATTTCTTTTATTAGTTTCTGTATTAGTTATTTTAAAATAAAAAGCAGTCATTTTTTCAAACGGAATCAGAGAATATTTGACCAAATCGGAGAAAAAAATAGGTAGTTTAAATCGACAAAATCTAATACTACTTTGAAAAATTATTCCACTCGTGGATACTTACTGAGTAAAATTGGGAATTCAATATTCGTAAAAAAATTATTTCTTTTCACTATTTAATTCCCTTGGAATGAATATGCATCTAAAAATATGTGCTTGTAATGTACACAGCATATAAACAGTTCTAAATAGAGTTCATGAGACAATATTTAATTTTGTGATTGGAATGTTTATGAACCAACAACGGTTAAGATATAATTCATTATTACGCACTATCTCAGCTATTAAATTAATAATCGTATCTTCTAGCTCAGAGATTAATACACAAAAATTAAAGCAGTAGATAAGTTAGCATCACGGTTTTAATGAAGAGTAACATATATTGAATAAATTTATGACTGATGGATTCAATACAGTTTACATTATTCCCCCTTAAGATTTGAAGGACCATTAATAAAATAAATATATAAAAACTCAAAGTTTATATGTCTTCATTCCAAGAACCAAATGAAGATCGCGGAATGAAACAAGTATTTTTTCAAAATATTTAAACCTGAGAAAAAAATTGAGAAATTTGAAGTTGGTCATAGCCACTTGCAGTTATTTTTGGAAAGATATTTTTAGATCCAAACATTTTCGTTTTGTTTTTTGTGAATTTTATGGTTAACCTTATTTATCGAGAGAAAAAACAATAAGTGCGTCAAAATCAAAATAAACCTTTTTGTGTATTTAATATATTTACTTTAAGAGCAAAAAGCTAATTTTAAGAAATTATTTTATAAATTACTATATTTGAACTAGGGGTATCCCTGTCAGCCTAACGGTGAACCAAGCTCCATTTTATAAATGATACAACTGTTCATTCAATTGCACAACTCGCTGCTCAAATGTATAATTTTAATTTACATGTATTATGTAGTTCAGATTGTATTATTTTTTATCAACTTAAAATACACTCAACGAAACCACAGTTCGGACAATTTTTTAATTTTTATTAAAAATCCATATTATACATCGCGCCTCATTGCCAATTTATATTATTATATAATTATAATCATTTTTATTGCTAATGTGTAACCATAACATATATTCAACTTGTCCAGCTTCAAATAAGCCCAAAAACAATATGAGCCTTTTATTTCTAATATTTTCATGGTACGTTATATTGTGCTTGTTTTTCTATTTCATAATAATTATAATTACATCACAAAATAATATAAATAATATTACATATAATATGATAATTAATATATAGTATTCAAGTGGAAATGTCTAAACCTAAAAATAGTTGCTGTCGCATAGGTGATATAAATCAAACTATATCACCTTCAGATGAATACCATTTCTCGTAAATATTTTTAGTATGAAATCTTTATTTTGTGTTAAGGGAGTAGGAGGCAACAGGACCGCAACACATATTTAAATATTTAATTAAATGAACACCTGTATAATTTATAAAACAATCGCCATAGGAGAGCAGCTCCTGTTATCTCCTACTCTCCTAATACTAAAATAAAATAAAATCTGAAAGTCACTAAAAACTTTTTATATAATAGAGAGATTTAAATTAAATAACTTTTTAAATTTTACTTACTGAATTTTTTCAATAAACCGGTAATATTGATAGATAAAAAAAGTAGTGTAGTCACTAATACTTAGACTTACGAAATACTGAAGCATATTAGATGCTGTAGAGACGAACAAAAATTTCTCGAAACTTATCTACAGGCAAAGATATGAATAAAAAAAAAAGAAATGAAACTATATCATACATATTACATGTACTGTAAAGTATTTACTAATGACATAAAAATGTATTAAAATGAACACTTAATAAGAATATGAAGAAATATAGGTAGGTATATTGGTTATATGAGGAGTTATTGTATGAACTACTTTCTGTAATTTTATATTTCAGACTGGCTTGAATTCAGCATTCATGGGCTGTATGATATACGCCTTCCTGGGAACCATCAAAGAAGTTGTTATAGGACCATCAAGTCTAATGGCCCTCCTCACTTACGAGTATACGCGTTCACTCAACATGGACTTCGTAGTGCTCCTCTGCTTTCTCTGCGGCATAGTTGAGTTCATCATGGGTATTTTAAGACTAGGTGAGTGAATTATAAAAATATTTATTTATTTCATTCTATGTTATTTTTAACTTTATATTTGCAACAGCGTCGCAACGCATCTAGGAAATGTGCTGTCGTTTGTTTTATCTTCTTATTTCTTGATACTTATTTATATTGTGTGCTGATCTCTAGGCCACAACATTTTTATTCTGTAAGTAACAATGAATGTCCCAATAGAAGGCCAAAAAGCAGAAGGATAGATAGAATCAACAAAGATGCAATAGAACTGCGTGCAGATAACTGGAAAGAAATAGCCCAAGACAGGCAGAGATTGAGCAGGCTTGTTAAGGCGGCAAAAGATCTACATGGTATGTAATACCATCATAGAAAAAAAAAAAGACCCATTGAGCGATGCAGACAGATACAATGTCAGACAGATACAATGTATGTTTTCCATGCACTCAAACGTTTGACTATTTAATCAGTGCCGGCCTTACACATTATTTTTAAAAACATATCTTTGCACAGAATTGTTCGATTTCAACGTTTTATTTTATATTTCAGAAAATTTCTTAAACTTTTAAATGATACATCAACAAAAAGTGTATACTTTTTGAGTTATTTGGGAATCTAATTTTACCACCCGTAACATTTTACTTTCCAACCTATACTAGGTAAGGAAAGTATTGCAATCGGGTCAAATTTCCGACATGCAGTTTTCGACGGATCTATACGTTTCACAGCCCCCTGAGTCCGAAAAACACATTTTTAGCCATTGGTCTGTCTGTCTGTCTGTGCCAAGATTTTCTCGGGAACTACTGAACCGATTTTGTTGCTTCTTTTTTTATTTTGTAGGGTTTTGACTACTGATGCCTGTGACAGAAATTCGGTGCTCCATGCGCAATAGCTTGCGCGCAATAAATGAAAAACATGTTTTTCTATAGACTGTAGCGCAAAAACGGCTCTAACGATTTTGATGAAACTTTCCTATAATGTTCTAATCATTGTTCTTTCACTTTTCCTACATAGACTAAATTCCCGAAAAAAAAACAGGAAAAAAAGTTATAAAGAAAAGAAAAATTTTATGGGCCTAACTCCCTAAGTATATATATATTATACGGTAAAATTTATAATAAAACTTTTGAAAGGTAATCAAATTACCAACAAAACAAAAAAAATCATCGGAATCGAACCAGTATTAGCGATGATACAGCTTATTCTATTTTTTACACATTTTTTTAACTTATTACTTTCCTACCTATACTAGGTAAGGAAAGTATTGCACAGCCCCCTGAGTCCGAAGAACACAGTTTTAGCATTTGGTATGTCTGTCTGTCTGTGCCAAGATTTCAATGTAAGATATTTCAATTTCCAATGTAGGATTACGGTTTCATATCCTAGTGTCAGAAAGGGGTGAATGAGAGAATAAAGATGATTAAGTGAAAGTAAGAAAATCTGTTGCCCACATCACACAATCTTCACTATTTCCTTACTTTCTTCATGAACATACATAAAGATAAAAAAAAATTTCTGAAATAGGTAGGAAAGTCGTGTGAGAGGACACACCAGATATTTCCAACTTCTTTTCGTTGAAGTATGCTACACAGATATATTTTAAAGTTTCGAAAGAGAGGAGTTTATCCAAGTTTCATTGAAATCAGTACATCCGTTCAATGACGCTACAGTGTATACAACAGGTCTTTTGGCCGCCAACTTGAATGGGAATTACTTTTCGGTGAAGAATGTTCTATGCATATATTTAAAGTGCATCGAGGAGAAGATTTTAGCCAAGTTTCACGTAAATCGGTACATTCGTTTAGGCGCTACAGTCTATACCAACACAGGTTTCTCAGCCGCCATATTGAAAGGAAAGGGCGGATGGTAATGTCGAGGTAGAAGGATCTTCCTCGAGTGCTATCAGACTTAGATTTCTAGTTTGAATAAATCGGTTCAGTAGTCTCAGAGAAAATGCGCGAACGGCGGACGGCGTTCGGACAAAATTTTTGTTATTCGACTTTTGAATTCTATGTATCACGAAACGTAAAATTTCTAATTTTGAGGGCGGTTAAGTTTTATAATTTTTCGTTCAATCAGAATGGTTCATTATTGAAAAGAATAAACCAAAAACTGGATAGCATGCTTTTTCTACATAAAATATTTAATTCTGAACACAATATAACTTCATGTCTAGTCAATGTTTATATTTTGGTTTATTATTTTCAATAAAGGAACATTGTGATCGACCAAAAAATTCAAAAACACAACTCCCTCTCAAAATTTGAGGTTTCACGTTTCAAGACGCCTAGAATTCGAAAAACGAATAAAAATTTTTTTGTCCGTCCGCCGTCCGCGCATTTTCTCCGAGACTACTGGACCGATTTTTTTCAAATTTTAATATAAAATCAGAGGTCACCAGAGGATGATCCTCCTTCATCGACATTACTCTCCGCCTTTAACTTTCAAAATGGCGGCCTAAAAACCTGCGTTGCTATAGACTGTAGCTCCTAAACGAATGTACCGATTTCAATGAAACTTCGCTAAAGTCATTTTCTCGACGCCCTTTAAATTTATCTATATAACATACTTCAACGAAAAGAAGCTGGAAAAAAAGTTACGAGGGATGGTAAAATTAAATTCCGAATAACTCGAAAAGTTTTTACTTTTTTGTTGATATTGTGATTAGATGTTTCAAAGGTATTTAAATTTCCTAAAAAATGAAGGAAGTTTTATCGAAATCAAAGCACTATTAGTAAATATATCGCGGTTTTTACATATTTTGGTTTATTATTTTCAATAATGCAACATTGTGATCGACCAAAAAATTCAAAAACATTTTTAGTTTTTAAAAGTTTACAAAATTTCCTAAAAAAAAAATCGTTAAAATCGGACAATTAGAAGCAAAGATATGGTCTCCGGTTTTTTTATGTGTTCTACTCCAAATGTTATATCCTTGGTTTGGTTTTTAAATTTTAAATGTGTTACTGAACTAATGCTATTTTTTTTAGCATATTACTAATGATTAAAGAAAAACAGTTTAGTCCAATAATTGGAATCACCTTTTGTTTTGTTTTTTCTTTGTAACTCGGAAGGTAATTTTACTTTAGATGTATAATTGTTTGGAGTTAATAAACCATTGTGAAATAATTTGCAGCGTTTTTTCTTTAGAGAGGTAAGTTTTCGATTTTTTTGGACGATCGCAATGATTTATTATTAAAAATAATAAACCAAAAATAACAAAATGAAGACCACTTACATAAACAATAGCAAATTCTGCTATGAACATAGGTAATTTATTAAATTTAATAGTTCAAAACTAAGAAATGTTGAAGACTGAAAACCAAAAATAAAAACGTACCAAGCTCAACATAACTTATCAGCGAAGATGAAACGTAGATGTAAAAATAACATTTTTTTCAGGTGACTTATATTTTTATATGCGTACTAATAGTCTAAATATACACATATATAATTGATAAGATAGAAACGTGAGAGATATTTCTACAAATTACATCCAAAAAATAATGTTGTAATAGTCCCTGAACTAAGCTAGAGATATAAATCTTTGTCATGTTTACTCTCTTACGTGTAACATAAGTAAATTTTTTTTCTCACCAAGTTATATACTAGCATCGTATTCGTAATCTAATTTACATAATAAATCGCAGTATGTCTGACTCGTTCTTGTCCATCCCTATTCTACTTCTAACCGTACAGCGTCACATTCGAATCAATCCTGCCCACACGAGTTAATCTTTAATCTAGATTAAGTCGATGTTCATCTTTTCATAAAAAGCTACTAAGTTGTGACCATGGTGACTGAACGTATTCAAGTTGAATAGTCCATTTTACTGTTAAAAGCGCAGCCAGTTCGAACCCGGCCTGGGCGGGTTAAAATTTCTATTCTGCTGGATCCATGAAATAAATGTCCAGTTTTTTCCAGAAGGGAGGATCATGTTCCATTCTCATGGGAGGAGAGGAAAGTGGGCACCTCAGAGCGGCGGAGTAGGCGAACGGTTAATCCCAGCAACCTAACAAACTGAAGATAAAAAAATAATTACTATAATAATTATTATAATTAATAATAAAAAAATAATAATACTTTTTTTTTTTGAACTAACACAAAAGTATAAAAATTTCGATTTTAGTTAACGACTGCATCCAAGGAAGGAGATAGCGTAGGATGTGCTCTAGCGAATAAAAAGAACAACCTACTGTTTAAATTACCTGGAGAATGCTCTATATTCACAGAAGAGGTGACTGCTATCACGAATGCTCTATATCTAATAAGTGAATCTAAAAAGAACTACTGGGTAGTTGTGCCGGACATTTTTAACTGCCATCGATAACCCATACCCTAGAAAATCTATAATTAGAGAAATACTTAACATTTGGTTTAACGTGGGAGTTAAAAAATAAAGGAATATCAGTTATCTTCATATGGTTACCAGCTCATTGCGGAATTTTAGGGAATAAAAATGCTGATCATGTCCATTTAGCAAGAAGTGGAGGAGAAGAAAAGGCAGTGACTAGATTGAAATATATCACTTTAGAAGACTGGGTATACCAAATAAAGAAAAAAACAACTGGGAAAAAGAGTAGACAATTAAAAAGTGTAAACTGAAAGAAGTGAAACCTAATTGCGATAAATGGCTCACTAGCACCAGAAGTTCCAGGCGTGAAGAAATTATACTGTGCCGTCTTAAGATTGGGCACTGCCAGTTCACTCATAGTTATCTTTTAAGAGATCTAGAAGCTCCTATTTGGGAAAAATGCAATAATACACCTCAAACTGTAAAACACCTTCGGGTAGAATATACTCAATTCGAATATTACAGAAAAAAAAATCTAGGAAAAACACTAAAAGATATTCTACAAGATAATGTGAGCGAGTTTCTATCGTGTTTTAATTTTTAAAGATTATAAATCACTATAACAGAATATAAATTATAGAAAACACCAATGACCCTTTAGAAAAAGAGAGAGAAAAAAAATTTCGAGTTCGCGTCCAGGTGCTGAAGAAAGGAGTGAGGTTTTTAACTCTGGCATCAATTCCCAGCCCTTTTACTTTGCCCGCGTAAAGCCCTATATAGCCGAAAAGGAGAAGACCAAAAAGATTAAATAAAATAATGGATACCTCTGGAGAAATCATGGTTTAAAAGTAATTTCCATATCACGTTGCCATGACTTGTTCCATTTTGAAAAAAGTCGTTTTTAAAGTTTTCAATATTTTCATGAGTGCTACGTTCGAATCTGAAGTTCCAAAAATTCTATTAGACACAATTTTTGAGAAAATGAAGGTTGTTTAAAAAAAAAAATTGGAATAGCATGTTTTTTCTAACTTAAATTATTTTATATTGTTATTTTATAATTATGTGTATATTGTTTCTTTTATAGTATTTAGCAGCTGTACCCCGTGTTATTAACAGTAGTTAGCACAAGCATCTTCTCATTGTATTTAAGCTATAATTCTTCTCCATTTGGGTTATAATCTTGATGAAACATTTTTCGGTGTTCATCTGAAACTACTCCCAAGTTTAAAGGGAAAAAATCGAAACGACAGTGCAAAAAATGAGTTTTAATGAATGTTGTATGTAAAGCATGGCCATATATGATAAAAGCAATTTTTTAACAATATCTTTATACTTGGTAGCTCTTTTGCTGCTCAACAATAGTTGACACACGTATTCAAACGAAAGCCTAGCTTTTCATTTTCATTCATTTTTTCTTTAAATTCTAGATCCTTAAATATAGCGCGAATATGTGCCAAAAAAATCTTGAAGCCTAACACTTGCGCTCTCGGAATTTTTTCATGTTTTAATACATTGTGATAGCTTAAAAATCAATTTTTTTTTTTTTTTTTTCATTTTTGGTTAAGGTTTTCAATGATAAAAAAAATCTCAAAATGTCGAAAAACACCTTATTTTTTTTAACCACAACACAAATTTGACATGAAATAGTGCCTGATTGAGATTTTCTGCCTTTGGATTCATGTCCAGCATATCTCAAAGCAAAAAAAAAAAAAAAAACATTTCTGTTAAAGAGCGGATTTTGATGCAGAACAGTGTTACTGGCACGCACAGCTACGACGTTAAAAGTTCTGTATTAATATCAGCAGCAACGGTTTCTTCCATTTTTTAATTCAGAACTCCAGGTCTAGACTTGCAAAACTCCTGAAAACATGTTCCTAGATAAAAGTATCTTTCGCTGGGCATCAGGTTTCCGAACGAGAAGCCAACATTTTTCACTTTAGTCTACCCATAACTTTAGGATTGATTTTAATTTATTTTAGTCTTTCTTCTTACTTGAAAATCCTTATAAAAACTAAAAAAAAACAACAAAGAAACAGAATTACACTTCTTTCTTTAATATAATGAAAGTTTCAATTAGTTTATATGAATGAATATTTAACAATATTGGTACGGATAACATTCTCATTAGCTCTCTCGACCAATATATGTTTTTTTCTATTTGCATTCAGGTTTTCTGGTCGAGTTCATCTCTTCTCCAGTCGTCTCCGGCTTCACAACGGCCACATCTGTCATCATCGTGGGGTCACAGTTGAAAGGGTTGATGGGGATAAGATTCAAGTCCAATGGCTTCCTGGACAACATATATCAACTATTTGCCAATGCGCATAAACTTCGCTGGGGTGATACTATCCTTGGAGTAGCCTGCATCATTATTCTTCTTATATTAAGGGTAAGTTGATTAAATCCGGTTTCACATACATCAGGATATTATCCTACATTCTAATATTATTAACAGACTTGAATCATTCCGTTGCTTTTAGAATGTGTTTTTTACTTTCACTTACCTATATAAGTAATATATAGTGTGTCTCAATTCTTAATGGCCAACCTCTGAGGTAGAAGGGGGTTCTAAAAAAAAAAGTTTACTTGTAGCTTGGGGCCGATTCCGAACGAAAAATGTTCAGATCAATTTTGTGTTTTTCTTAATGTGGTCACGTTATTTATTGAATAAGAAGAAATTGCTTAAAAGCTGTTTAATATAATTAAATTCTAAGTAAACCATTTTATTTTTTTTAAGCAGCGATTACAGGTAAATGATGAAAGGGACTTCCGAAGGTCTAATATGGACGCTACATCCCTGCAGTTGCAGTACCCATGCACGAGCAGCATTTCTCTGTGCAGTCACCGTATTAAACCTGAAAGACCCTTATATCCACTTGCGGATCCAGGATTTAATTTTTGGGGGGCTTCAGCCCGAAAGATTTTTTTTTCATATACATATAACGATAATTAATTAGAAAAAAAAGAAAGAAATTAACTACCTATATGATATGGTGTTTAAGTGGTTTTTGAAGTCCTATTAAATGTAATTACACGAACAAGAATACTTTAAGAGATAATTTTAATATTTTTGTTCTGGAAATCATGGCTATAATTTACCATTTTGGTGTGGGGGGGGGAGGGGAAGACTTCAGCCTGAAAGCCCTTCCCTTCCCCTTCCCCCGTAGATCCGCATGTGCTTATATCATTCACCTTAGTAAATTTAATCACATTTTTCTCAAAAACATTTAATCTACTTTACGATGCTGTACTGAAAATATAATTATCATGAACAGTTTTTGAGCGATTCCTCCTTATTCAATAAACAACGTGACCACCTTAAGAAAAACACAAACTCGTTTTCCGTTCCGAACCGGCCCATGCGTCAAATAAACATTTTGTTGTAAATTTTATCTTTAATCAGTTTGTCTGTGAATACACATAAACTGATACCCTGAAAATACATATTTAAGTTAGATATATGTCTACGATATTACAGCAACGTTTATCTTTTTATTGCCCCAATTTCTTCAAAACAAAACATAACATTTAAAATAAATGCTGTTGATAGTATTTTACAACATATGTTTTTTGTCAGTATGATTTTTCGATAGAAGCATGAATCCGAAAAAGTATTACAATCTATGCCATCGATTAAATATTTTATGTATGTCCTTGATTTAATGTTATATTAAATCAAGAACGCCCATCAATTTTTTACTTTCCTACCTATACTAGGTAAGGAAAGTATTGCAATCGGGTCAAATTTCCGATATGCGGTTTTCGACGGATCTATACGTTTCAGAGCCCTCTGAGTCCGAAAAACACATTTTTAGCCATTGGTCTGTCTGTCTGTCTGTGCCAAGATTTTCTCAGAAACTTTTAAAAAGATTTTGTTGTTTCTTTTTTATTTTGTAGGGTTTTGACTACTGATGCCTGTGACAGAAATTCGGTGCTCCATGCGCAATAGCTTGCGCGCAATAAATGAAAAACATGTTTTTCTAGACTGTAGCGCAAAAACGGCCTAACGATTTTGATTAAACTTTCCTATAATGTTCTAATCATTGTTCTTTCACTTTTCCTACATAGACTAAATTCCCGAAAAAAAAAAACAGGAAAACAAGTTATAAAGAAAAGAAAAATTGTATGGGGCCTAACTCCCTAATTATATATTATACGGTAAAATTTATAATACAACTTTTGAAAGGTAATTAAAATACCAACAAAAGAAAAAAAAAAATCGTCGGAATGGAACTAGTATTAGTGATGATACAGCTTATTCTATTTTTTAACTTAATACTTCCCTACCTATACTAGGTAAGGAAAGTATCGCAATCGGATCAAATTTCTGGATTACGACGGATCTATACATTCCGGAGCCCCCAGAGTCCCTGTTTTTCGAAAGGTAATGAAATTCCCTACAAAGCTATATAAAAATCGTTCATTTTAGACAACTATTAACGAAGTTACAGCCATTCAATTTCCAATGTAAGATTAGGGGTTCATATTCTGGTGCCAGAAAGTGGTGAATGAGAGAAAAAAGATGACTAAAGTGAAAGTAAAAAATCTGTTGCCCGCATCACACAAGCTTCACTATTTCCTCTACTTTTAACAGAAATTATTGTTTGACAATACTAAGCTATGGCAAAAAGTTTTTGATCAGCAGTATTAGAGAGTGAAATTTTTACACTGATCTACCTTAAGTCGGTTTACATTGCTTTAGTTTATCAAATAAATCGTACTCAAATCTTTTATTCTTTTCAAATCTGACAGAGGCGATAAAATCTATATATCAAGATCCCAAAGGAATAGTCAGGCTGAACGGGATAGAATCGGGTTGTTTCAATTTGCAAGGGGGGTGAAACAAGGAGATAGCCTAAGCCCATTGTTGTTCTTGTTATTCATGGATGAAGTGGCATCCATCTGTAAGAGAAGAACGGACAGGACATTCCTGGGACGTAGGAATCTTAATCCTGTAGTGATACAGCTTCTCCTCTACGCCGACGACGTGATATTGATTACGGACTCAGTGGAAAAGTTGCAATTGGCAGTTATGGAATGGTATGAAGAACTCCAACGAAAAGGGATGCTTATAAATACCAACAAAAGTAAGATCCTACAAGTCGGAAGAAAGAAGGAAGATATCCACATATACTGTCAATGGAGAAGAATTAGAAGTGGTGACAGACTTCACATACCTGGGTACAGTGATAGACAGATCTGGGAAGGTAGACGCAGAAATATCAAACAGGATTAATAAGGCAAATACAGTTTACTACCAGATATGTAACACTGTGTAAGAGAAGTAGGCAAAGATGTCAAGCTACACATCTTCAAGACGGTATATCTACCCATACTTTTGTATGGAGCGGAGAGTTGGATATTAACAGACCGACAGGAGAGCAGAATCACCGCAGCCGAAATGAAATTTCTGCGAAGGACGGTTGGAAAACAAGGAGAGACCGAGTTCGCAATGAAAAGATTCGTCAAGAACTGCAGATAGCCTCACTGAAAGAGCTCCTAGAAACTCGTCAGCTAAAGTGGTTCGGCCATGTTATCAGGATGGACGACCACAGAGATCCTCTAAAGACCATGGAATATGTCCCAGATGGCAGAAGACCTAGGGGCCGCCCTAGAATGTCCTATCTTGACTACATTGAGCGACTCTGTAGGGCGAGGGAGAAGGACCTTCGACAGGCGAGGAACCTAGCTAGAAATAGGGAAGAATGGAATTCCTGGCTGAATGCTCCTCTACGCTGAAAGGCACTAAAGAAGAAAGCTAAAAAAGAAGAAGAGCAGCGAAACTCAACTAAGTTCTATTTAAAAAAAAAAAAATCATTAACTATTCACGATTTTTCTTTAACATCACCTAACTATACTACAGAAAATCTCCCTCGTTTAATAAGCTTTAACTAAATATTAATTAAATCGAAGTTTATTTGTGAAAAGTTTAATTCAGCTCAAGTTATGTAAAAAAATGATGTGATTTTATATCATGTCAATTGAAAGTACCCGTTTTTTCAGCAAAAATGACTGTAATAAACTGTTGCAAAGTTTTTATTTCATTACCTGGGACGTTTTAAAATTAATATAATCTCCTAAACACACAACCTATTTATATAAAAAATATGTTAAAAATAGTGAGTTTTTAAATATTTTTCCAGTAAGATGATTAAGAAACTGTGTTTTTCACTAGTATCTCTATTATAGGATTTCATCTATATTTATAAGTAACAAACTAAATGTTCCTGATCCTAATATTTTCGTTTTCTATAAAATCAAAGCAATCAGCAGGCATTTTTTAATCTCAAAAGTAAACTTTAGGACTAGAAACATTAACTTCGTCACTTATAAATATGGATCAATTCCAGGAGTATTCCTAGAAGAAAAGATATTTCGATTAACAATTTGGATGATGAATAATGGAAAAATCCTTTTTTTTATTATTTTTTAAATAAAAAGTATGTTTATGCATTCATATTTATTATTATACATCCTAGGTCATCGGAAAAAAATAAATAAAACATTTGAAACAATTTATTGTAATCATTTTTGCTGAAAACTGATACTTTTAGGTGACAGGACATAAAATCACATCATATTTTTACATAACTTGGGGTGAATCTCAAATTTTTCCAAAATTAGCATCAACCTAACCAATATATAACCTAAAGTTTATTGCGTTGAAGTTTTTCTAAAAGTGAGGTATCTGTGGTACAGTTGGGTGATGATAAAAAAAAAAAAAACGCTGCAAATTATTTCACAATGGTTTAATATTTCCAAACAACTATGCATCTAAAGTAACATTACCTGGTTACAAAGAAAAATAAATAAAAGGTGATTCCAATTATTGGACTAAACGTTTATTTTTGATCATTAGTAATATGCTAAAAAAAAATAGCATTACTTCAGAAACAAATTCAAAATTTAAAAATCAAATAAAGGATTTAACATTTGGAGTAGAACATATTAAAAAAAAAACTGGAGAACATATATTTGCTCCTAATTGTCCGATTTTAAAGATTTTTTTTTAGGATATTCCGTAAACTTTTAAAAAACCATATACAACTTTAACAAAAAAATGTGTACTTTTTGAGTTATTCGGAATTAAATTTTACCATCCCTCGTAACTTTTTTTCCAGCTTCTTTTCGTTGAAGTATGTTATATAAATAAATTTAAAGGGCGTCAAGGAAATGACTTTAGCGAAGTTTCATTGAAATCGGTACATTCGTTTAGGAGCTACAGTCTATAGCAACGAAAGTTTTTCGGCCGCCATTTTGAAAGTAAAAGACGGATAGTAATGTCGATGAAGGAGGATCATCCTCGAGTGACCTCTAATGTTATACCCAAATTTGAAAAAAAAATCGGTCCAGTAGTTTCGGAGAAAATGCGGACGGCAGACGGACAAAAAAAGTGTTATTCGTTTTTCGAATTTTACGCATCCTGAAACGTGAAACCTCAAATTTTGAGAGGGGCTTAAGTTTTTGAATTGTTTGGTCGATCACAATGGTTGATTATTGAAAATAATAAACCAAAATTGTGAATAATTTGTTTTGTTTTTTTAATTCGCTGATTTAAGCCGCTCAAAAGTGCTCGTTAAATGGTTTTAACAGTGATAAATTCTAAAATCATTTTTAAAAAAATTGCCTGATTTAAAGTGAAGTAATTGTTAATTACATAAATTAGATATTTTTTTAGTTATCGCTTCCTATTTAACAAAAAACATGACTTACACAAAAAACACAAAACTTAAATTTCCTACTTTTCTGCCGAAAATCGGGGCAATGTCCATAGTAGATTCCTACAAATATTTCCCTCTACTTACGCAACACCCTGTATAGCTCAGAAACTGGAGCTATGAGGTTTATAAAAACAAATGGAGTTACGAGTTTTTTTTTTTTTGCCAACCGTTGATATAATAAATAGAAGTTGTGTTATTTTAATGGTATTAATGAGTTCTTAGCTGTAAGGTTTAAGCTTTAGATCCGTTAAAAATGCACTTAAGAAAAACTTGTAATAGCCCAACATCGCCAGAAAATAATATATATTCAAAGTATAGCGCTAATTGAAAGCTGAAACACTCACTAGATTTTTTAAAAATTAATATTGCTAGTGAGGATAATTTTATTTTTAAAAATACTGCTAAACGAACAATTGAGTTTACTTCAGACTGAATTTTAAGTGTCTTGGGTTCAGTACTTTGCAAGAGAAGTAATATTTGTGCCAGTAATATAGCAACACGAGCTACCGCCAGATTTTTCTTCCCTTAATTAATTAATTAACTCCCCCCCCCGTGTGTGTCCCGCTTTATAGAGGGTGAATTTGCCCCAAAAGGTCTTCCGATTCCATGGTCAATCAACGGCTGATGTAAAATTACCAGTCATCAAATGGATTCGAACCCAGTCCCTTTGGTAATAAATATCGGACTGTATTTTTCGACAAAAGTCAATAGTGTCCCTTCTACACAAGGCGACAAGAGAGCCACAATAAAATAATCGACGTATAAGACAGTTCTGAGATTTTCATATCGTGAACACATATTTAGTTAACCATGCAAACATGTTTGCAGAAACGGATTTTATTGGTGTAAACTAAATATGATAACAGAACAAACAGTTGATATTATCCGAGAGCCATTTAACATTATTTGCCGACGTGGAAATAATACGTGGCCGCACAAGTTTATTTTTGCTTTTTTTTTAATCCTTGGAGAAAACAAGGAAAGGTCAACGTCAGATTACACCATGTCTCATGACAATGCTTTTGTCGTTTCAGTGTATCAGGGATATTTTCCGGATTTCTATATATTTTTATGCAACAAAAAACATTGAAATATGCCATATTTCATATAGACTTGGAAAATATCCTTATATGCTATAAAATGCCTATGATATTCCATCAAACGTATGGTACCAAATATGGAACAAAATTAATAATGATAAAATATTTAGCCATTATTACATTTAATAAACTTTTATTTTACAACATAATATTATGAATGATTTGATTATTTATTTTTTTCATATTTATAATTTTTATATTATATTAAAAGTCATTTTAAATTTTAACACGGCTTAAAATAAATATTTAACAACAGTATATTTATAATTGATAACATGAAATTTTAATTTCCTAATCCTATTTCCCAATAAAAGATATTTTAAATTCAAAATATATTTTTTTGTTTAAATATGAGAACGTTATTGTTTCAGTAAAAAGTTTCATTTTTTATAATATTCTGTTTCTTTATTTTTTTTAAGCAGACCTCAAACATTAATTCGCAGAGTGCCCCAAATTCTCTAGGTATTCCACTAACGGAACTCAATCAGTTTTAAAGAAAAATAAGAATTATTTTTGGTGTGATTCTATTTGTATTTGGATATAAGACAAACCGTAGACAATGTTTTTAATTATGTTCTCCACTCTTGCGTTAATGTTAAGAAGTATTTCAACTTCTATTACTTGGAATTCGTAATTAATTCATTATTAGGAAATCTAACTACTTACTTAGGAAACTAATTACTTTTACTTTAATTAAAATGAAACATGATTTTAATATTTGTAGCAAAGTTACTGAAAGCTAGAAATATAATTAACATCATATCAATATTAATCGATACAAAAAATACTAAATAATATAATTAATACATTAAATTAATATATTTTAATACAAGCCTTAAATAAATTCAGTTAATGTAAATAAGCACAATATATTCCTTTTGAGCATAAATATGTAGGAGAAAAAAATTGTGACCAGATATGCAACACAAAAATTTGCCAAAAGATTTAGAAATTTGTTTCATTAAGATATTATTGACCCATGTTTTTGAAAAAAAAATTGCAAAAAAAAATGGATGCAGTTGCAAATATGTATGGCATTATATTGGCATAATCATAATTATATGATTATATATGTCATAATCAATGACGTTACTGAATTTTATACAGTATGTGGTCGGTTTTTAATAAATTAAAAGCATTTCAAAGTAAGGTTTGGCTCTCCTTGTTAGAAACAAGTGGTTTCATTTTAGCTTCCGGTCGCAAATTAGCGATTGGTAGAAAATCGAAGTAAAGAAATTATTTTTATTCTGAGACATTTACTATTTAATTTCTAGTTGTGATCAATACCAATAATCGAGTTCTCATCAAAACCAACAATTTTAAATTTATAATTGCTGAATTTGCGCGGTATTACAGTACACAGAAATATTACACCAAAGATCGTATAAGTTAACTTCGACCGCTTGAATGAACAAAGCTACAGTTTTAACAAGCCGTTTGAGGCCAAACTGGTTCGCTATTCTAAAGGACCAAACTACTGCTAAAATGTGACAGAGCAGATCTTAACAAACTTACAGCGATCTACAAGGACCACTGTAAGCTAAATTATCATCGGTTCATTCCCAGACTGACTTAAACTTGACTAAGTTCTGTCATGAAGAGAATGAAAAGGCTTTTCACTTGTCTGTCAATGTGGTAGAGTTGTCAGGTCTTAGGTCTAAGGTCTTAGGGCGTGCGGCGTCTTGAATGAAAGCTGTGTGGAATTTTACTGTCATGGTTCGGGGACTGAGAAGTTGTTTCTAAATAATAATAAAATGACAATTTAAATGTTATAATCACCTTATGTTATCAAATGATTTTTTTATATGCAGAAAGCACAAGAATTAAAAGTTCCTGAGACTTGGAAATACCGCAATTATGTGAAGAAAGGACTTTGGTTGGTGAGCCTGGGAAGAAATTTCCTGATCGTAGCCGCAGCTTCCTTCGTAGCCTACCTTTATAAGAACAACGGCTACCAGACGCCTTTTGTAACCACAAGTTTGTATCTCACAATAGATTTCAATATATATTAAATTAGTTTAATTGATTAGCTTGATTGTTATTACTATGCCTAACAGTTTAAGGAGAGAGGAAGTTTTTCCGTATATAATTGAAGAAATGGGAAGATACATGTATTATAATCAGCCCCCCCCCAAACCCATAAGCTGGACCAAGTATTAAGGATGAAGTCAAGCTCAAGGGTGTCCGGAAGCGGGTTAAAAGGCGGAAGTTACGTCATCAAAATTTTTGAGAGGGCATATTTTTGAGGGAGGTAAATTTCGGCGGAGTTTTGAAATTCCAGAATGAAAAGTTCCATAACACGGAACAAGGGAGAAGCATGGAACAGACCACAGCAAGAGTAACTGTATATGATCTACGATTTTTCTAATTCTTTCTTCGCTTGCTCTGTTTTTAAGCAAAGAAGAGCAATAAAATATCTTGGGAGTGAGGATAATACGTCCTTGCGCCATCGTCCTTGGGGAGTAGGGGAGGATGGGCACCTCTGATCAAGCTCCATTAAAAAGCTTATATAAGCATTTCTCTGATGGAGGAGAGTGGCAACACATCTGGACAATGGCTCACCTATAGGGGGTGAACCCCACTGAATTAAGGACCCTCAGAAGGGGATTTTTTTTTGCAAAAAAAAATTATAAAAATTTTTCTTTAATCGGACGAAAATGTTGTTATTTTGAATGCTTTCTTTTGGGCTTAATTATATGATTGTATTCATTGAATGCTAAAAATATGTACCTGACTTTCCTTGACCTCAAATCTGCTTTTGACTCGTTTCCACGAGATGAAATATGGGAAGCTCTCAGAGCGAAGAACGTTCCGAGAAACCTGGAAGAGGCGATTAAATCTATACATCAAGAGCCCAAAGACGGGCTATAATCAAATTTTTTCAATATTGCAAAGGGAATCAAACTAGGAGATAGCTTAAGCCCTTCGTTGTTCTTGTTCATGGTAGAAGTGGCATCCATTTGTAAGAGAAGAAGGAATAGGACATTCCTGGGATGTAGGAATTTTAATCCTGTAGTGATAAAGCTTCTCCTCTATATGTGGTATTGATTACGGACTCAGTCGAACAGTTGCAACTGGCAGTTATGGAATGGTGTGAAGAGCTCCAACGAAAAGGGATGCTTATAAATACCAACAAAAGTATGATCCAAGTTGGAACTACAAGTTGGAAGATATTCACATATACTGCAATGGAGAAGAATTAGAAGTAATGACAGACTTCAAATACCTTGGTATAGTGATAGATGGATCTGGGAAGGTAGACGCAGAAATATCAAACAAAATTAACAAGAAAAAGGCAGGTTACTACCAATATGTAAAACTGTGTTAGGGAAGACAGAAGTAGGCAAAGGTGTCAAGCCACACTTCTTCAAGATAGTATATCTACCCATAATTTTGTATGAAGCGGAGAGTTGGATATTAACAGACCGACAGGAGAGCAGAATCACCTCTGCCGAAATGAAATTTCTGCGAAGGACGGTTGGAAAACAAGGAAAGACCGAGTTCGCAATGAAAGTATTCGCCAGGAACTGCAGATAGCCCCACTGAAAGAGCTCCTAGAAACTCGTCAGCTAAAGTGGTTCGGCCATGTTATCAGGATGGATGACCACAGCGATCCTCTAAAGACCATGGAATATGTCCCAGATGGCAAAGGCCTAGGGGCCGCCCTAGGATGTTCTAACTCGACTACATTGAGCAACTCTGTAGAGCGAGGGAGGAGGACCTTCGACAGGCGAGGAACCTAGCTAGAAATAGGGAAGAATGGAATTACAGGCTGAATGCTCCTCTACGCTGAGGCACTAAAGAGAGAAGCTAAAGAAGAAAAATAAAGCTAAATTATCTTTAATTTCACTTTAGCAAAACACTAATAATTTATTAACGAGCCAAGGCATAAAATATATGTATAGTGTGGGCGGGGTAGCCGAATGGGTTAAAGCGTGTGCAATGCACCGCCGTTGCCTGGCAACCTGACATATGAATTGAAGATATAAAAATAGTCACGAGTTCGCGTCCCGGTGCCGGGGGAGTCTTTTAAATCCCCGCCCACACTCCCTGGCCCGGGAAAATCCCGTATAGCCTTAACGGCGAGGAAGGGAAGGACCAAAAAAAAAAAAAAAAAAAAAAAAAAAAAAAAAAAAAAAAAAAAAAAAAAAAAATATATGTATATTTTTATTACTTTATGCTTTCGAGAATTACTCATATAATATTTACATATAGTTGGGTAATTATTCAAATCAAAGCTAGAACCAATAAAAATTATTACATGAATAATCATGTCGAAACAATACTTGTTTAATTTGAAATGTAAGTTATTTATATTTTCTAGGTTCCCTCAAAATAAATCCATCTTGGGGTCCTATTTGCAAAGGGAGAACCACACCACGATGATTTTATTTTATTTTTTATTTTAAGAAGCTCTTAAAAACAATCCACTCAGGGCTACAGATGGGAAATTCGATTCTTTTAACTAAATCGACCCACAGCGGTTTAATCATTGTGGTGAATCGATTCTTTTCTTCTTCTTTTTTTCCTTATAATTAAAAAAAACAAAGCAATTCCAAATATTTTAAAACCTTATGGCTATTCAGACATATTATTTTTTTTAGTTATTTTTTCTTTTGTAACTGATTGAAATTAAAAGTCCCGGTATAAATGTATAGAAATAAAAAGTTATGAATCTTATAAGTAGCAAGGAAGTTTAAATTAGACAGATAAACTTTGTTTTTGTTTTTTAATTTTACTTGTTAGATTTTGGTCTGTGTACATAGATTGTAAATGAAATGCAAAAATAATTTTATTATTTTGGGACTAATCTCCCCTTAGAAAAAATTATAAATACAAAATAAATAAAACACGACCATGGCCATACATTAAATAAAATATTTGAAAAATTAAAAAACAAAAGTGAAAGAGAGAGAAAACTGTATACATATATAAATAAAACAGAGAGAAAAAAAATAAACAAAATAGTAATATAAATAACCATAGATTATAAATGTTCGGAGTGTGAAATGAATGTAACGAAATGAAATGAGAAATATTTTTATTATCGTGGGACTGTTGTCCCTTTATAACAAAGTATAAATACTGAGGAAATGCCTGTGTGGCCATACATTACATTAAATATTTACAAAATGATATCTAATTATAAATAAAAATATAGGAAGAAAAAAGAACAAAACAAAAGCATGCATTTTATTTACAGACTAAACAAAGGAAAATAGAATAACATTACTATCTAAATTTTTAAGTTTCTGGGGAATCTTAAGAAGTTGTCTTATGTACATTTCGTGATCAGTCGAATTAGGAAAGGGTAGGTGCTTAAAAAGGAGAGATTTAAATGAGGAAACTGATTGTGTATGTCGGATATCGGAAGGGATAGAATTCCAAAAGGAGACGGCTTGAATTGCAAAGGATTTGTCAAACGCAACAGTTCTGTGAGGAGGAGGGTAGAGGTCAGAAGTACGGGATCTGGTGGGACGGGATTGAATGGAAGATTTGAATTGTAGGCTCTGAAGTATATAAGAGGGTCGCTAACTTCTAATGGCCTAGTGTTGAAAGCAAGTATTTCTAAAAAAATAAATAAATAAATAAAGCAAGGTAGCAAGTACTGAAGGAAGTACTGACGGCGGTGGGATGGATAGAGCCACTTCAACTCGGCGTAATATCCGGTAATATCCCTTGAGATCCCGAAGATAAAGTGTATCGAGCAATTCATTAGGCATTTAAGTTTGGCTTCGAGTTCTCCCGAGAATCCACCGTATACCATACAACCATAGTCGAAATGGGAGAAAACAAGAGACGAAACCAGAAGTTGACGGGTTTTGTATGGAAGTAGATAGCGTTGAAGGTAGAATTGTTTTAGAGAAGAAATAGTAGGACTGATGTCTAAAATACCAGAACGTGGTCAATTTGGTTTTTTGTACCTTTAAGCTCCTGGTAATTAATTGTTTGGTTTTTTTTCTAGCATGCTAACTTCGGCTTAATTTACTTGAAATTTTCCAGCGCCGATGTTATTGATCAGAAATCTAAAATTTTCTACTATATCAGATATTTCAGTACTTCCTAAAATTCTTCCTATGCTGAAATCAAAATTACTTATTTATTGGACAGTCCGAAAGCCGTGAGAAAAAATCTACATTATTTGATGAAAATCCTAAACGCATTTTTAAAAAATATTTATAACATTTAAATTTTAAAAAACAGTGTCTGTCAGTCAGATCTTGCAACCTGTAAAAACAGCGGCTTATTTAAAGAATATTAGACCAATAGCTTGAGGATCGAAACGGGATAATCATTGCGAAAAGTTTTGTTCTTTTAATTTGTATTTATCCTCGCGCGGGCTCATTACCGCGTATGGGGAGCGTCCCACGGGTGGCGGATGTGGGGATGGTCGGTGGAAATTTCTTGGAAGTTCCTCCCGGCTAAGTCCGATGGACTCGCTGACCAACAATGAGAGGGGCCCTCCAGACTTGCTGGAGGGAGGGGACCTCCAGACTTGCTGGAGGTAGGGGCCCACCAGACTTGCTGGAGGGTGTGACGTAGGATTGAACGCCCTACTCACATATCTTTAGTTCACCAAACACCACAAAAAGTCATGGATCTTCCTAAGATAAAACGCTCATTATCCGGAAGTAAACTAGTCCCCCGTTCGGGTCTCCGGGTGGGGACTGCTTTAGGGGATTCATGGCGCAAGTTGAAATATAGGGATTTAAATATTGGTACGTGGAACGTAAGGAGTTTAAACACAGCAGGGGGGCTAAAATCGGTCGCGAATGAGGTAAATGGGTACAATTTGGATGTCGTGGCTCTGCAAGAGGTTCGCTGGCCAGGGGAGGGCTCGATGAGGGAAGGGAAGTACACTATTTGGTACGGAGGAAGCGAGAATCATTGTTTAGGTACCGGGTTTCTAATTAGGCGTAGATTACTATCCGCTTTGAGGGACGTACAATTCTTTAGTGATAGAATTTCGGTAGCTACATTTCAGGGGCGTTGGTTTAAAATAGCATTAATAAACATACATTGTCCGACCGAAGACAGTAACGATGAAGTCAAAAGTGAATTTTACGATAAACTCGAATGGGTTTATGATAAACTACCACGAAACTACATGAAAATAATTGTAGGTGACGCGAACGCAAAGGTAGGAAGGGAAGAAGTTTATATTCCGACGATTGGTAAAGAAAGTTTGCACGAATATAGTAATGATAATGGGATCCGTCTGATAAACTTTGCCATCTAGAAAAACCTGATAATTAAAAGTACGACGTTTAAACATAAGGATATTCATAAATATACTTGGACATCACCGGATTCGCAAACACGAAATCAAATCGATCATATCTTGATACAACACAGCTGGCAAAGCAGTATAATTAATGTACGGTCTTATCGCGGAGCAGAATGTGGGTCGGATCATGAATTAGTAATCGCGAAACTTCGACAAAAACTTAATATAAAAAAGAGAAAAGAAAACCGTTTCGATTTTGAGAATTTTAATTTGGAAAAATTAAAAAATCCATCAATTAGAAACCAATTCGAGCTAGATGTTAAGAATAGGTTTGAAGCTTTAGAGCTTCCTGACGAGGACCACGAGGATATTGACAAGTTATGGATAGAGATCAGAGATAATATTAAAGCGGTCGGTAACTCGTGTCTAGGAAAAAAGGAAAATAAGAATAACAAACCGTGGTTTGATGAAGATTGCTTAAACATGTGTGAAAAAAGAAAAGCCGCTAAATTAAAAGCTCTAAATAATCCTAGCGAAGACAATCTGGAATACTTCCGAATCTCAAAGAACGAAACGACAAAATTGCTCAAAAATAAAAAAAGGGAGTATCTTAAAAATAAAATTATTGAAATAGAAACTAATAGAATCGAAAATAACGTAAGAGACATGTACAAAGGTATAAACAGATCACGTAAATATGTAGGGCCCGTAACGTCTGGAATTAGGGATGACAATAACAATATTTTGACCGATCCGGTTGACATATTGAATAAGTTTAAGGACCACTTTGACAATATTTTAAATACGGGAAATTATGATCTGTGTCCTCCTTCTGAGTACCAGAGTGCTGAACCGTTAATAGAAGGACCAACTAAAGAGGAAGTTGAAGTAGCTATCGGAAAATTAAAATCATATAAAGCAGCGGGAATCGATAATATTCCTACTGAACTAATTAAGGCATGCGGAGAAGCTGGAGTTTCTAAAATACATCGGTTGGTTAAAAAGATCTGGGTGAACGAGAAATTACCTGAAGAATGGAAAGAATCTATTCTTATTCCGATTCACAAAAAGGGTCCGAGGACGGATTGTAATAACTATCGAGGAATTTCACTCCTTCCGGTATGTTATAAAATATTCACTTTAATCTTAACCAGTCGAATCACGGAATACGCCGAGGAAATTATCGGAGACTACCAATGCGGATTTAGACGGAATCGTTCGACTATTGATCAAATATTTTCTTTACGGCAAATATTAGAGAAAAAATTGGAGTATAACGGTATTGTTCACCAGCTGTATATAGATTTTAAAAAGGCTTACGATTCTATTGACCGCCAGAAATTGTATAATATTCTAATTGAGCAGGGGATTCCAAAAAAACTAGTAAATCTAGTCAGGATGTGCTTGACGAAGACACTCAATAAAGTTAGAATCGGTAATAATTTGTCCGAAAAATTTGAGGTTCGTTCGGGCTTAAAACAGGGGGATTCTCTTTCGCCTGTCCTGTTCAATTTGGCATTAGAACATGCCATTAGGGAGGTAATGCGAACCGAGAAAGGGTTGGATCTGGGCGAGACAACATCCGTGCTGGGCTATGCTGATGATCTGGTACTGTTAAGCGAAGACGTTGAAACTATAAAACTGAATACGACAACGTTAATGAAAGCCGGGAAAGAACTAGGACTCGAAATAAACGTGGATAAAACAAAATATATGGTTAGCTGCAAAAATGGCGATACTACTGGTGATATCGATATAGATGGTAATATGTTTGAACAGGTAGATAAATTTAGGTATCTAGGTTCTACGATAACTAGAAAAAACGAAATTGAAGAAGAGATTAAGGTTAGACTGAAGGCGGGGAACGCTTGTTATTTTTCTGTGACAAAACTACTTAGTTCGCGCCTCTTGTCCCGAAACTTAAAAATTAGAATCTATAAAACAATTATCTTACCTACAGTTCTTTATGGATGCGAAACTTGGCCGCTTACATTAAGGGATGAGCAGCGTCTTAGGGTTTTTGAAAATAAAGTATTGCGTAGAATATTCGGACCGAAAAAGGATGAGTTAACCGGAGAGTTCAGACGGTTACACAACGCCGAATTGCGTGAGATGTATCCGGGTAATATAATTGAGGTAATTTCATCGCGGCGAATCAAATGGGCTTGTAAAGTTGTTGGGCTTAGTAACGAGAGAATTCCTAAAAGGTTAATATTTGCTGTGCCGAATGGTAAGCGTCCGAGGGGTAGACCGAAGCGAAGATGGGAGGATTGCATTAAAGCCGATCTGAAGGGACTGGGTTTGGACGGCGGACGGTGGAGGGAGGTGTGTAACAAGCGATTGGTGGTGTCGGCATCGAACCTTCGGGTTCGCTAAGCCTTATTATTATTATTATTATTAATTTGTATTTATTGGTTGAGACATGTAAAAAACAAAATTGCGAAAGCAGGAAAACGAAAAACTTTTTACATCCAAAGTCAGACAACTCCTAAAGGGTGCATCGAAGCGAAAAACGTACCCTTTAAGAAATTAAATAACGTTAAATTGTGCGTCGAGCGTTTACCTAAACTTAATAGTTTGATCAAGTGGTACGGCCGATAACCACGTCCGCGTTCGTTAAGTGATTTTTACCAAATCTGTCAAAAACTGAGAAAATTTACAGATAATGACTCTGCAGTTTGGAAATGAGTTATCTAAGAAAAATAAGCTCATAACTTAAAAGTTGTAGAGCATCAAAGTTCGTGTCCACTGAGTACTAACAGTTTTAATATAGATCAATTATAACTTTCTAATCAGGATTCGTTATTTCTTCATGTAATTCGGATTTTCTTTCACCCCATTTCTCAAAATCCTTCGCTGCTGAGAGGTGAATAAGAGTTCTTCACTGTCTATATTAGATTCTTAACAAGAATAACTTAGTAGAATAGACACCCATACTGTTGATATATTTAAAATTACATATATCTTCATTACCAATTTCCAACCAACGCTTTTCACTGCCCATTTCGAGCGGAGTAAGTAACCTACATTAAAACAGTTAGTACTCAGTGAATGGAGAATTCGATGCTCTACAATTTTTATTCTTATACCCATTTCCAAGCTGCAGAGCCATTAATAGTTAATTTTCTCAGTTTTTGACGGCTTTGGTAAATATCAGCGTTCATTGGCCGTGGTTATCTACCATACGACTTGACCAAATTATTAAGTTTAGGTACTGGGTTGATGCACAATTTAACGTCATTTAATTTTTTAAGGGGCACGTTTTTATCGCTTTGCACCCTTATGGGGTTGTTATCACCCTTTTTTGCACCCTTTAGGAGTTATAGATGAGAAAACAATCGAAGAAATCTGGCCTTTTTGGATGTAAATTTTTTTTTTTACATGTCTCAAACAAGATGTAAAAGTAAAAAGAACAAAACTTTTTCCAAATTTTTCGCAATGATTTTCTCAATTCGATCCTCTAGTTACTGTTCTAATATTTTTTTAAATCAGTAGCCATTTTTACTGGTAGCAAGATCGGATTGGCAGACTCTCATTTTTTGATATAAATATTTTGAAAAATGAGTTTAGAATTTTCATCAAATAATATCGATTTAAGAAATATTTGTTGATGAGTAAACATTACTCATTCAAGGCCATCAATAGTTTTCTCTTGGATTATTGATAAAACCAAGGCCAATTGGCAAGTGGCAATATTCTGATGAATCTCAATGATGTGGAACATTAAAACAAAATATTGACCAGTAAATTAGTTATATTGAAGTTTAAAACACTTGTTTATCTTACAGAAGCAGTAGAGGGCGGTATACCCAGCCTGACCCTGCCACCATTCAGCACCCAGATCGGCAACAAGACTTATGATTTGGGGGAAATGGTCACAGAGTTGGGTACAGGCTACATTGTCATCCCCATCATAGCAGTTCTGGCAAATGTAGCTATTGCAAAAGCTTTTGGTGAGTATATCAATAATGTTAGTATCAGATATTAGCAATTATTTTAGAATTACGAGAAATAAACATAAACTATGGTTCAGAATACTTTTTACAATATATAAACGATAAAGAAACATCAATCTGACATTTAATTGGCTTCATTGTAAATGTAATTAGAATGTATTGTTTAATTTTGAATTTTTTTTCTGATAACGTTCAGTGAATCATGGAGGGCAACAAGCAATAAATAGAACACATCTTCGCAACCTATATATCATGCCCACTCATTACAGACAACCAGGAAACCTAATATTTACTAAAAATCTCTTTAAATAAAAAGTTGAATATAAAATCAAATTTTGAAAATATTTCTCTCCAAAGCCAAAATAACTTTTGTAAAAGTACACTTGCTCAAAGTATTTCAATTAAACAATGCTGTTGCATTTATCTTGCAGTTAACGGACCTGTGGAGGCCACACATGAAATGCTGACCCTTTCAATATGCAATATTATTGGCTCCTGCGTCCAGTCTATGCCAACTACCGGTGCCTTCACAAGATCTGCAGTTGTCAGTGCTAGTGGTGTTCGTACACCAATAGCAAGCATTTACGCAGGTATTTCAATAAATTATAAACAGATGTATGACAAATTGTATCTTATTAAATCCTTAATTTTATTAATGTTTTATTTCATTTTCTGAACACGGTATTTCAGCCGGGCTTGCTCTGATGGCTCTAGGATTTCTTGGACCATATTTTCACTATATTCCAAGAGCAACATTGTCTGCTGTACTTATAGCTGCTGTACTGTTTCTCATTGATTGGAAAATCTTTTGTGATTTATGGAAGAAGAGCTGTAAGTAGTTAATTTAATTTTAGGCTGATGTTAATAGTTTGATAAAAAGAGGACTGTATCACAGGCTATTACCTCTAAGTCACCTATTGGTTACCACCCAAAATATCAAGTATTCAAAAAGATTCTTACTGAATAGGGTTGGACTTCTTCTGTGTAACATTTACCCTGGTCAGTTGCCTTGCACTGGGAATAGAAGTAGGACTTTTGATTGGGGTGATGATGGGCATAACTCACCTGGTCTACAAGACATCCAGACCTCCTCTCAATATAGAACCGGGCAAGGTATATTGTTCAAATAATCATTTTATTATTAATCATGAAATGATTATAATTTATAGTCCATTGATTCTGTAAATCTCAATGGATTCAGTTATAGTCATAAAAACATCAAATTTCAGGAACCACAAGTCACTTCAAAAGTGGTTAAACTAACCACATCATGAATGAAAGCCAAAGAACAATGGAAGCAAAATTTTAAAAGCAAAAGTTGTTAGATTCTTATGAAATTATAATATCCTCTGAATCCTGGATTCACTAAGCAAAAAGGATAATAAGACACATTCAACAAGAGTCGAAGTGGCTTTATCTGTCAGTATTTCCTTGCTACCTTCCTATACCAGGCAGGCTATTAGAACTCGGCGACCCTCCTGTATTCTACAGATTCTACAATTCAAATCCTCCGTTCAATCCCATCCCACCAGATCGAGTAAGTCCGATCTCTATCCTCCTCCTCACCTCACCGAGCTACTGCGTTTGACAAATCCTTTTTAACTCAAGCCGTCTCCCTCTAGAATTCTATCCCTTCGGATATTCGACACGCAAAGCCAGTATCCTCTATCAAATATATTCTCTTCAAACACTCTTACTCCATTCCCAATCTGGTTGATCATGAAATGCACTTAAAAATCAAAGTTGTAAAACTTTTTAAGTACCTCTTTGATTATTTTGTGATTTATTGGTATTTTTTTTCTTTATTTTACTTTTCTGTTTATTTTATATTTATTTACATTTTTATATATTTTCATTATCAGTAAATTTATTTTATTACAAATCATCTTGTAAATATTTAATTTATTAGGGACACACCAACATGTTAATTTAATATTCGTAATTATTAATTTGTTCTAAAGAACACTAGTCCAATATATAAAATTTATTTCATTATTCAGTCATTCATTAGGAAGACAAAGAATAAATAACATTTGTATTTTCTTTTTGTTATATGAGGTATTTAGAGTGCTACCCAATGGGTAGTTCAACAACAAGCGTGCTTCATGTGATTATATTCTTCTGTACACATTTACTTGATGTATTCATACTAATACAGTTGTAAATATCATAATAAAAGTAAAAAAAAAAAAATAAGGGATTACTAGTTGGCCCATGCGAATAATTCACAGAAAATTTTGTTTAGTGAAGAAATAGCAAAACAATATGGAAATAAGAAGATCCTATGTATTATGTAAAGAAGGAATTAATATTTTTTCCTTGGTCGATTACAATATTCCATTTAACATAATAGACCAAAATATTTGTACAAATTGCTTTGCTGGGACCTATTTTTAAACGATGACTGGAAAGATAATAAAAGTAATAAAGACAAAATAATGCCCCGATAATGGGATTTCCTAAATTATTAAAAAAAATAAAATGTGAGAACAAACAAATGTCTTTAAGAAATAATAAAGTTAATAAATCAGCCATGTCGGCATACCAGGTGGTGTCGGTACGCCAGGTGTTCGCTAAGTCTTTTATTATTATAATATATCAGCCAGGAAAAAAAGTGTAACAGACTATTCTACTCCTAAATGCAATATCTTTAAAGAGAAATACATTATTAAGTATACCAAAACTAATGGACTTTATCTTTGTTAATAATTGTCTGACTTTTATGATTTTTTTTTTTTGTTTTGAAGATAATTTAGTAATCTTTCTAATTATCATGGGTACAATCAAGAAAAAATGCATACTTCTTGAGTTATTCGCAAATAAAATTTCTTTTCCTTCATAACTTTTTTCCAGAAATTTCGGAGAAATAGGACTATTTTTCGCATGTGAAGAAGAAGGATATATCCTCAAAATGAGTGATTAATCATTGGATTTGATGAAGAATTGATGAAGTTATGGCGTATCGACAAAAAAAAACACCTTTTAGAAATAATATATAGGATTTGTAAAGAAATGTATCTACTATTACATCTGTGATTAGGAAGCAGTACGCAAAAAGTTTAAAATCCATATTTTAAAATTGGTATACCTACAATGGAAATGTGGATAATAACAGAAAGATAGAAAATCAGATTCACAGCTATAGAAATAAAATTTCCCTGAAATACTGCAGAGAAAACAACCAATCACACCCACGTTCAAAGTCACATTGATGAATTCAATTTCTAGAACCCAGCCATTAAAATGGTTTAACTATACATGTTACTTGTTACAATCATAGACTATGTCCATGGTTGTAAAAAGGATGTCATAAATACTGCATGCCAAGCACTTGGCAGAAAAAGGATTAAAGATATCTGATAAACCAGGAGGGAATGGGTTGTTGATTTTTAATAGTGGTTCCCTTTTCCAGTAAATATGCAATGAGGCAGTATTTATAAAAATTCTTACTCTAGATGGTTAAATATATAACTAACTATAACTAATATATATATATATAACTAAGCATTTTCTGGAATTTAATAGATACTTATTTCACCAGTTTATTGCAAAAAGTCACTTTTGATGCAGCAAAATTTTTAAGTATTCATTTGTGAATTTCAATCATATTTATCGATGCAAAAAACTTGTTAGTTTGCTTTGTATTTATATTTTTGGCACAGATTCCTATGTAAACCCTTACAGTTAAAAAATAAATTCAAAAAACAAAAACAGGGATTTTCACTTTTTAGTCTCTTTTTCTCAAACTTCACGGATACAGATGAGTTTGTTTCCGCTGTTGCATGGATTTTATATATACATATATATATATATATATATATATATATATATATATATAAACATTTTTTAAAAAGAGAAGAGTAATAAAATTTCTTGCGAGAAGGGCATGCACCATGGCTCTTGAGAGAACAGTACACCTGGTTATCCTTATCATCATACTCGTAAAACCCTTACTAAAATAAATTAAAATCAAATAATCACAAGATAGTCTTATTTAATATAATTAAAAGTCATTGTTGAATTTAACATTCTCATTCCTACAATTAAATTATATATTGGTAACAGGAGGTGACAACAGTAAGTGGGAGGAACGGGCTCTACTTTTCAGCGACAGATTATTTTAATGGCAAGCTTCAAAAGTACGCTTCTGGGTCTGATACAGTTATTATCGACTGCTCTACCTTCTCAGGGATAGACTTCACAGCAGCCAAGGTACTCTTTCTTTAATTTATGATATTAAAAGATTATTTATATGGTACAAAACCAGACAAAAAAGTTATAATTGAAATAAATTTCAAATGCTCATACTATTCAACAAATTAATTAAGATCAATTTTGGGACATGTTATGTTAGAATAGCATAATTTCCTATTAAATATTCATTAATAATAAGTCCAGCAGTGATAAGGGATGATTTTAAAATTAAATAATTAATTTTAGTCCTAAATTAAATATAATGAGCAAGAATAGCCATTTGGCTTACAATAAAAAGTCTAACTAAATACTAGGCTCATCAAATACTTTCTACTGAAAGTTTTGTATTCTTGGAGTTGTACCCGGATGTTTTGCCTCATATCACAATGAGACATGCAAGTTTCTATATTTTTTATTCTTAATTTTTTTTTTAATTTCATGTTGTCTTTCTGGGAGGAAAGGTAAATTACCCTTCCGTCCCAGAAAGAGAACATGACTCAGGATGTTTAATATAGGGACAAAATTGCTATCCCATCGTATAAATTTGATTTTATAAATAATAGCTAATTGTTGATTTTAATATATAAATATAATTTAAACATCAGAAAAAAGGAACAATATTTTCAAATAAACTAATACACACGCTACTTGCTTCATTATGATAAACCCTGTTAATAACTTCATAGCAATTCTTTTATTTTAAAGATTTATTCAAATCATTTGAACAGGTTTGTAGCTGATTTTATATATTAAAAAGGAAATAAAAAATCAGTTTAATTACTCTAAAGAAAATTTGATGATTAATTGATATTGAATAAATTGATCAAAACCTCTTTTGGAATCATCATATTTCTCATATCTCTCGACGGACAATTTCCACCCTCAAACTTTTCCATCGCTTTCGCATGCCACATACCTCAACATACGCGTAGACTCCTAGTTTCCTCTCTCATTTTTCTCCACTTTGACTATAGCTGTGTGGTGTATGATGGCCTCTCTGCGGAGCTCCGCTATAGACTGAAAAGATTAATGAACAGCAGCGTAAGATTTGTGATCGGGGGCCCAAGATATTCCCATGTTTCTCACCACTACGCTGAGTTAAAATGGCTTTTCCCATCATTCCTAAGACAATATTTCCTAGGTACGTTCCTCTACCATATCGTCAACAACCATCATCCTTCTTACGCCTACAATCTTCTCCAGTTCAAATCCTCAGTCCATTCCCTGTCCACAAGATATCAACCTTCTAACCTTTACATGCCTTCTCGCAGATCTGCCTCATTCCAAAATTCCTTTATTGTTCGCTCTGTCAATTTCTGGAATTCCCTCCCTATCAAAATTCGACATTCCCCATCCATATCCACATTCAAAACCCTCCTATTCCAATTCCTATCCCAAAAACAGTCAGATAATTGCTAACCATTCAAGCTGATTTCAATAGAGAATTTGATACATTTTTATTTTTTAATTCTTTCTTATTTTCTTAAAAGTGTATACTGGTCTATCAGTGCACATAGCTCTAAGTGTCTTGTCATAGTATTAATTGTTTTGTATATAGCTTCATTTGTTTTGTATATAGAATGTTTACCTTATATTTTTTTTACATTATTTCTTTTTTTCGATTGATTTTATTTTGGCCAGATGTAATCTTATAATTTTGTTCTATTTTAATATTCCCAAGGGACTGTGTCCCAGAATAAAGTTATTTTTCTATCTAAATAATTCATTTTTCACTTAACTGTTGAGGAAATCATTCTCTAGATCCATAATTTTTTTCTCAATTTATATGAATTCAAAGAGTATCATTGTCTTTAAGTAAACAAAAACCTGCTTAGTATAAAAACTTTTATGGATACTACACTGGTTCAATATTCTGCTCTGAAACAATTGTATTTACTTTTTTTAAAGGGCTTAGCATCCTTGATAAACTCATTTCAAAAAAGAGGACAGAAACTGATGCTGGTTAATGTACCAAGAAAGTGGAAAAAACTCCTTCTCAGTGCCGGAGTCAAGGAGGGCTATATCCGATGCGAATCAATGGATGAATTTAATTGTAAGTTTATTCAGAATATCTAAGAATACCCAAATTAGTTGAATTATACTGAAATGAAAACTACAACAGAAAATGAGAACTATTCTTATAATATATTAATATATCTAAGAAATTATTGTATGTTTAATGAAAAGTTATGGAGTATATTTTTTTCATTTTAAGAGAGTTCACAAAGTCTGATAATTGAAAACATAAACCATGCCATCTACCTAAAAGCTCATTTGGCTATCAATGTATATATCCTTGTCATTTTCTCTCCCTTTTGAGTTCTACAATAAAACAACGTGGATTCATATACAAGCTGCAGATTTTTATGTAGAAAAATGTGATAAATCTGCTTGAAGGAATGATGGTCCAATATAACTTTAAATATATATTAAAGAGTATAGTCATATTTTAAATTGTGGCATTATTGGGAATATTTTACACTTATATCAGAAAAAACACAAACACTTTTTTAATAATTTGTTATTTTAGGTGAAAATATGCAACTATTACTGCAAATTGAAGAACCCACAAAGACTGAAACAAGCCAGCATACTGAAAAAGATGGAAATCATTCGGCATAGTCTCAACATAAAATTATGAATGAAAGTTGTGAGATATCTCCTTGGAATTCAATACTGTTGAAAGTATTGAAAAAAGCTTCCTTAATATTTTTATAATAAATTTATCAATCTTGCATTTTATTTTTTTCAACCTCAAAGAAAATGATAAAATCCAGAAATGAAAATGATAACTCTCTTGACAGTAATCATCGCTGATAGAGACCGTTATTACATTCAAAATTAGTTATTTAGGTTCAAAAGAAAATCATTAGTTTTTTAGACCATCATTATGTTATCTAATACATCTAATAGGATCCAGTTCCCAACTTAACTGCAAGCCCTGAGAAATAAATCTAATGGAGCCTTTCTAAATATTTTATCTTACCGTATTACAAGACTAATAAAACAGAGTGGGAATTATTAAACAGAATAGGGATTTTTTCAAAGTAATGTCCCTACCACGGACACTGAGAGAATAAGACATCCATTTATCCAATTATCAATCAGTTCAGAAGAAACAACTTTTTTTAAGGAAATGATTTAATTACATTAGTGAGAAATAACCTCTCGGTTATTATCTCGGTGGAACCTGTCCACTAGAGAGCTCATCCCCCGGGTGGCGGATGGGGGATCCCTCTTAGGAGGGTCGGTCTGAATATACAGAATAAAGACCCGTGGACCAACAGGTACCCAGTGCTGGGGGGTATAGCCCGGCCACCCTTTCTCCTGAGGGGACACAAATATTCAGGAGACCAGTTGTCCCGAGGATACAGGGCCTCCATCGCTAGGCTAATAACCCGCATGGTAGTATAATCTATTCAAAGTCACAAAACCAGGAATTGAAAAAACATTCGAATCATAATGGATATAATGAACCATAAATTTTATAGTTTTTAAGTTAAGCAAAAGTAAAATTTGCTTTCCCTCATATAATTTTCTTTTTCTGGAGGATGTGCTTATCTTTTATGCCTGAAGGTAAGGTATCATTTATAAACTTCAAAATGATAGCTCGATCATTGTATTTGATGAAGAAGTAAGAATGATGTAGTGTACTAACAGAAAAAAAGATACGCTACGATAAATAGGATAATTTCATTTTTATCTGATTAGGAATACATGACATCAAGATTCACAACCAGGTTGGGACCATACATTACCTCAAAAATGATACATTTTAGGAATTTAAAACGCAGAACCCAGTATAGTTCTTTAGAACTAGAAAAAGTCATAATGTTCATATCAAAATATTTAAAAAGCAATTTATCCCATCATGATCCGTCAACTTTTGAAGGCTAATTTTTTCCTAGGGCTTTTATTGTAATTGTAATAAGGTTTAAAGTTTTGAAATTATGATTCACCACTTCTCAATGAAATTCATTTATGAGAAGGAGTTAGTCGAGGGTGCGGTAAAATAAATAAAAAATTAAAATATATTAATTATTTTAATTTTTGCCGACGTTTCAACCCACTTTGCAGGTCGTCTTCAGGGCGTAGGATGTGGCACTGCGGGAGGCAGTTGAAACACTGGGAAATTCATTTATGATTGATAACTCATACATCAAAATCTGTAATTCCTGAGAGAGAAAAAGGGATCTGTACCATCATATATAGTGTAGATATTTTATTTTTCACAGTAAACTCTCACAAAATTGAATAAAAACCAGATACTTTTATTATTATAATAAAAACTTTAAATTGACATATCTTTATAAGATCCATCAAGTTTAAAATCCTTTGTAACTTTGTAAAAATTGAGGATAATTGATAAATCATAATAATGCTGAAATATTTGATTATCTTATATTTGCATCAATTTATACATCTAGGGAAGAGTTCATAAAAAAAAACAGAACAGTCTCCACAATCAGCGGCAACAAGCCACCAATAAGTGGAGCTAAAGCATATTGTCTCTAAGAAAGGTGTAGTGAGTAATATTATCATCCTCAGTCTGGGTATATCCTTTCCTTATACCTGATAAGATCATAATTTTAATAAAAATATTAATTTTATACAAATAAAAACGATTACATCATATAAGTAATTCATGATTTCATAAGCTACTACAAAAACTATACAGATAATAGGTACATAAACAACATAAAGAATGTTAACAAAAATTTAAAAATTATATAAATCCTGAAAAATATGTTCATAAACATTTTACAAACACAGATTATGTAATTATATTTATACAATAAAATGTGAATTTATCTAAAAAGAAACTTCTATATAAAAAGTCAAAAGTTTGATATTTGCTTAGAATACCTCCCCCCTTGGTCAAGGCTCCTCATAGCATCATGTATTTTGATCAAAAGTGTTCGCACCTATCCTAAACCACAACTAAATCAAATTCAATGAGAGAAGGCACAGAACAATATTCAACTTATATGTATCAGATAACTAACTCTATGTACAAATAAATATTTACAACCAAAAATAATAAATAAATATATATTCATATATATATCTCTCTAATATATCTTTTTAAAAAAAAATAACATTTTATGAACGAGCCAGATTGTGAATAGATGGAGTTGAAGTTCCACGATTTAGTCTCCGAGACCTGTTGACAAAATATTTCATAATTTATTAAATAATTCTCTTTGAACTTTTTGAACAGAAAATAAATATAAAAGGGGAATGGATCATTATAAGTATAATATGTTTTTAAATAATACTCCAGTCAATGAATGCTAAAAAGGAGTGTGTAGAGTGCATGGAAGTGGTTTGGGTATTTGACTTTGGGTGTTTGTTGGTGGAATTTAGGAAGTAAACATACTAAAAGTCCTGTTCAAACCGCTTCTGCTTCATAGTAGAGGGTGTTGTAAAGGTTCAGTTTACCATTTGTATCTAAAAACAATGGGTCCTAATGAAAAAGTTGATCAATCAAAAATTAAAGCTGATAAAGTTTCTTTTCAGAATGTGCCCAAAAATGTCCACTTGTTTTCATATTTGTTATAGTGCTTCAGATATTTACAATCATAGATCAACAATTTCTGGAAAGTTGAATTTAGCTCTACAGGAAATTCGTTTTGTATTTTTTTTTAAGTAAGTTTTTTGTTGAACAGGAAGTGATAACTAAAAAAGTATTTAATTTAAGTAGTTAATAATTGCTCCACAATAAACTAGAAAAAAATTATTCCAAATGTAAGTAGAGTTTGTCATTGTTAAAACCATTGAAAGAAGCCTTTTGAGCACTGAACTAAGCAAAGTTCTGTTTAAAAAAAAAAAAAAAAATTATTTGCAATTTTTTCCTTATCACCCTCTAACTATATCGCAAGGTGAAGTTTATTAGAAAACAATTTGTGATTTCCCTCAAGTTGTGTAAAAAAATTAAGTGAGTTGATATCCAGTCGCCTAAAAGTACTAGTGTTTTCTGAAAAAATTGCTACCACAAATTTTTGCAAAGCTTTAATTTCTTTTTCTCTCCGTGACTTGAAATTTATTTAACTAAATATAAATATGAGATTAAAAAAGGGTTTTGATAAATAAATAATCATATATAGATTAAATATAAATTAATTGTTTATTTATAAAAAATAAATAAAAATAATGATTTTTCGTATATATATCATCTAAAGTGATAATAAAATTGATTTTTTTTCTCTTTATTATAAGCTCTAATATAGAAATCAGCTTCTAATACTAGTGATGCGGCTGGAAAAGTGGCACTGGGATCTCCTGAAGTCCAGCTTTGCCTTCCACATGTGGGGGGAAAAGCATGGCTAAAAGATTCCTGGGTGAATGTATATATTATATATAGATATACAAGAAGTTTTTATTAGTGTTTAGAAATTTTTATTTTATTTTATTTGTTTATTTCTTATTTATTTACTTTTGAATAGATTAATTGAACCAATTAATGAGACGAAGTCAGGACTAAGGAGCTTACTTTGACGACAAGCTCCTTACCCTGTTCTTCGATGACGATCAGGTAGTGATGGTCCGAAATAAAGCTTTCCTGGAGATGCTGGTTATCCAATTAAAGAAAGTTTATAAAGAGGCAGATCTCAGCATAAACTTCCAAAAGACTGAGTATATGGCACTGAGAGATGAGCAAGACGATCTACGCATAGGTAAACAGGTGTGCAGAAGAGTAAAGGCATTTAAATACCTCGGGTCCTATCTGGACGATGTTGGAACGTCCGAAGTGAATGTCCGAAACAAGGTAGAGATGGTAAGAAAAGCAACTAGAATGCTGCATCTTGTTCTCTGGAACGACACTATTTCAAACACGAACAAGCGGTATATCTTCACAGCTATTGTCGAGTCCATATTAACCTACTGATGTGAGGCATGGTTGATGAATGCTGGCTTGTATGCCAAAATTCGGACAGTAGAAATAGATTTTTGGAGGTGTCTACAGTTAACGAGGCAGGACAGAGTCCAAAATGAGGTGGTGAGACAGGGAATAGGTGTAGAGGATCGGGAAACGGCGGTTGAGGTGGTATGGGCACTGCAAGAGAATGGCGGAAGAGCATTGGCCGAACAGAGTCAGGCAAGAGTGGCAGGCAGGACTGGCAGCCACCCAGAAAGCGTAGGCGAGGACGACCTAAAAATACGTGGATGGAAGGAGTCCGAGAGGAGATGACCGGCCGAGGTCTACAGGAGAGGGATTGGGAGGATAGAGACGTGAGGAGCTCTGCTCTGACCTGAAGAGGTATCCTACGTTGGAACACTGGAAATAAGTAAATAAGCATTTACTTTTTTTATCAGTATTATTTATTTACTTTTTTATATTCATAGTTATTTCTCTATTATTTGTACATATTGTATGAATGAGAACTTTTAGCTTTAATACTTATAGCTGCCCGCCACAGTGGCTGATTGTATTATTATTCAATAAATAAAGTTAAATTTAAAAAAATATATAGAAATCGATATGTCTTAACAGATAACCGACTACATGTGTCTAATTTTAATATTTATGTTTAAAATAAAGAAACCGACTGATTGCTTGAATTATTTTCATGGAATAGTAAATATTCGGACTAGGAACATTTAGTTGGTAACTTTTAAATACAGATCAATCATTGATATCTTCATAAAAACAGTTTCGTTACCTCTTAGATGATAAATATAAAATAAAAAAATCATTATTTTTAACATTTGCTGTACAAGTCCCTTAAAGAGTTGTAAAGTCACATGTAAAATACTCGTAAACTAATGAGTTACAAAAGTGATATTGGTTTTGAAATGTTTGGAGAATGAATGGAGGAGTAACATCACTTAGATTTTGAGTACTACATTACGTAATCTCCGTATATTTTGAATGGGACAATAACCAGGGTGGTGGTTCTGGTTTTCAAAACAAAAATGAAGTCACAAGAGAAGTCTCATTTTTTATACTGAAATATGACATCAGGCATATTGGTAATTACCTCCTGAAGTTGGTTAGTTACCTTAATCATTTATCCTACATCTTTGTTAGCTTAGAAGAAAAATTAAGAGTTAACATAAACGAGATTCTAACCAAAGAAAATACTAATAGAAAAAGTTTTATTAGATTAGGAGGAACTGAAATGTTTGTATAAAATGGGAAAACATAGAAAAGGAGATATTCTATGAAATCTTCTACAATGAAAAAACTTATGATGAGTAGACAGAGATAGCGAATAATCTTAGTTTTTAAATATTTTTTGTAGTAGATTAATAAAAAACAAAAATGTTAAGTTAAATTAATACACAATAAGCTATTTATAAGTTATCAAACAGTTGAAAAACATATTGTAGACAAGTAAATTAATCTTGAAGGGCACCTGCACACTAAACCTGAAGTGCTACTTAAAATTATATACTTAATAATGGATTGTGTATTAAAATTTATTCCAAATTCTCAGTAACTAGAATCCCCTTCACAGGAACACAAAATTGGGATGAGGAGGCTAGTTAGGACAGTGCTGCAAGAGACAGGCGGGCAGGAGAGCAGTGAACCGAGTCTCCTTGACACAACTGGCAATAGGGCAATACACTACAGTTGCCAAGACTCATCCCCACTCTTATAAACAAAGAGTCACTCTAACCTTTCAGGTTGTTAGTCTTCCGTCTACTGTATTTTTCTTGCTTTGACCTGACTTGATCAAGGAATTTTATTTCTGATAATTCAATAATTTACCCTATCTTTTATTCAGCATTATAAATCATTAAAAAAAAAAGTTAAACAAAACAAAAGATTCAGCACTGAACATACGAGGCATCTATTTTCAAAAGCCATGGCGATTGGTGTAATCTGACAGCCTTTAGTCAAAGATATTTCGGCCAAGCAGCAATAAGGCCTGTTTTTTTTTTTTTAACAAATTTTGACAGAACTTGTATTAGTTTTCATGGAATGAGGTGGAATTAAAACAATCACCTAGGCTCCAAGAAACAGCACAACAAGATATACTCAATCATTTTGAAAGATAGCTGGTAAATAAATACATAATACAATGATATGCATATATCAATACATTAGTATTTTATAAATACAAATATGTTTTGGATCCATGAGTAAATAAATTTTCAGCCATGAATAAAATAAGTGGTTTATAGAATAAAGAGGTTAGGCTGCATTGCAAATAGGTTTGCTTCTAAACAATTATATTCGTCTTAATTAAATTAAAAATGTTTTTCACCTAGGCTCCTAGGCCACATGTGGTCTCCATGATGTAGCTGCAGCCTCTAAACGTTTTTTCATGGTAATTTATTATATCTAGCAGTAGAATTAATTAATATTTAATTATTAAAAATGAATAGAATTAAGTTGTTTATATGTACATAGGTGTGTGTATTTAATGATAATAAAAGCATCAACAGTAAAATATAAAGAATTGTTGCGGCCTCGATTAGCACCAGCGTTATAAACATAGAGGGGAAAAAAATATTGAATAATGTAATGTAAGTTATGCCCAAATAGATTGATTAGTATGCTGTGTATAAAGCAACCCTATGTAGTAGAGCAGTATTACTTTCAATAAAGTATTTCTCTCTCTCAATAATCAATCACTAATTTGCTTGACAATTGACATTGTCAAATCGAAGGGGTCACAAGGATAGAAGAGAAGTGCACATAGTGGGAACAGGACTTCCGTAGTATTGCAGTTTCTGAACTTATATTCTCGTGAACGGGACTATAAAAAAAAAGAAAAAAAAAAAAAGAAAAACTTACTCTATATCCTCGTAATTGCTTGAAATTAATGCTTAATAAATCGGCGCTTGTTAACTAAACCATGTTTGTTTTGATGGCTTGAATCTCTGGATAAACAAACAAGAAAAATATTATTATCTTGCTGCTAGTATACTGATATGGTTAGCATTTCTACTAACGTTTTTTCGTTTTAAACCAAATCTAATGCTTTCAGAAAAAATTCTAAAAACTAATTTCTTCTAATATATTTTTTATAATCTACTAATTATTTATTTAAAATATATATAATATACTACAAATACAATATATTTTATATAAATACATATAAAATATATTTTAAATTACTGTTTGCACTATTTTGAGATGTATGGCTTTAAGAATGTTCTAGCCAATGTAAGCCGTTAAATCTACATCAAACTACATTAATGTTTTTAAAAAGTACAAGTGAGAAAAAAGGATTCATTGGTTGTAGCAAAAGCTATCTGTTTATAAAAGCTAAAAATAAAATTTACTTTTAAAATTAATTGCTTGTTTTAATAAAATTCCGAACAAACAAAATAAAATTACATCAAGAGAATTATAGTTCATGATTTAATTAATTAGTGAAATTTACATGAGAATATTGTTTCATGAAAAGAAAGTTAATTTTTACAACCTTTAACTCACTGCAACACACCACTATAAAAATATAAAATAACAGAAATATTACCTGTACTGGTTATCCCTTACTGCTAAATCACCAACACTTGGTGAAATACTGTCCCTTGAGCTGCCTCGACAAGATGCTAGTTTGGATTCGAGGGCCTAAAACAGAATTATTTTTACCCATTAATTATTAACACTGACTATTTCTTCATGTAATTCAGCAATAATGACATTTAAAAGAACATCCTAAATTACCAGACAAACAAATTCACTATAATACATTCGAATAATAACTCAGTAAACAGGTAACACTATTCCTAACCCAACACATGAGGCATTTGGTTTCGAAATCGGCTACACCCATTTTTGGAACTGATAAAAAAATATTTAATATAAAAAAAACAACTATTTAACAATTTTTTTTTATTTTTCATTATTATGATAACAAATCAATTTAAACAAAAATTATTGACAATTTTTTATAATCTTCTCTTTATATTAAATCCCATTTAATATTAAAAAAAAATATGTTAGATGAACCTGAATATAGATATCAGAAAATATTAATTTTTGATTGATTTATGATTGAAAAAAAAAAAAAGATGTTTTTTAAAAACAAGTCATTTTTTAATTTCAACAGTATATACACATAATTTTAATTGGGTGATAAATATTCAGGACGCAGTCATTATAAGGTTTTTATTAGTGCCAACATTTCAACCCAAAGATGTGGGTCATCATCAGGGCATGGTTTGAGCACTGAAGATCATAAGTACTCTTATAGAAAGAAACCTAAGATATTGGAATACTTGAATATCTTCAGTGCTCGAACCACGCCTTGATGATGACCCACATGTTTGGGTTGAAACGTCGACATTAATAAAAAACTTATAATGACTGCGTCCTGAATATTTATCACCCATGATATGTAGAACAGTCGGCTAACTTCCTTCCATAATTTTAATTGTTTATGCCTATAAATTTTCATTGATATCTTGAACTTGGCAAACAACCATATTAGTATCATGCTTGTCATGATATACTTGGACAAGTAACATTGTATGGTCTATGACCCCTGTGGAATTCAAGGGTACCTATTGTTTTCCGGTCTTTCCCATTTCTGGCATTAAAAACTTATGAAAAAAAAAAATATTTTTAGGAAAAAATGAAAGTTAGGATGAATAAAATTTTGAAATCAAACGCCTCACATGATTATAGTTGAGATTAAAACTAATTCTTACTAATTGTTAAAGCATTTGAGGCTACAACCTAATGCATTTCAATAACAGGCATGATGAAGAGATTTTCGGTTATATTAAAGATCCATCTTGAGGATGGGATATTTGACCAAACGTTATATTTTTTTAGGAAATAAAATAAAATTGTTGGTAAAGCTGGCTGCAGCTAACTAATTGTTATACACATTTACTAATTGAGTATAGATCTGGAATTTGTAAAGCATATAACCAATCTTTGGACTGCAAGATCTCTGATGCAGGAAGCCAATAAAGTGAAGCATAGATAAAAAAAAAAAATATTTTCTTTAAATTTTTATTATACTCAATGTGATGCATTTAGTAAACAGTTAACATATATACGAAATAAAAGTAATATGACCCGAAAATTTAGTGTAGCAGTGAGAATATCTGTAAAACATAATAGAACAATCAGCAACAAAACAAGATTATGAATCAATGGCTCTGAATGAGTATAGTGTTAATTTGTTTATTTTTTGGGTGTATTTGTTTCAGGTCAACTATATAATATAATAAAATGATTGATAATGCCACGATGTTGAAGGTTTTGTTGAGCTTCACAGCTCAATCTGGCAGGTTTAAATAGACACAAAGTTGCATTGTAAGTATGGATATAATCATAAGGATAAGTTTTCTTAGGTTGACATGCAGTGTTGACGATTGATTTGCACTATAAAGATTAGCAAAACATTATAGAGGCCAGAGCCACATCGAAAGTGAATAAACAAAAAAGGAGTCCACTTGGTGAGGTAGGAAAAAAAAAAAAAAAAAAAAAAAAAACGAATCCAAGAGACCAAAAGCACAGCCACATCACATGTGGTACCAAAATAAAATATGATTATTCTTGTGACTAATCTCCTAGCTAGTCTCTCTCCCAGTTTCGAATATTCATCTCAATTTGGTACAACTCACATAATCCTGAAAGTTGAAAAGCTAAATATGTTTATCATTTTGAATTTTAAAAAAGAAAAAAAAAGAGAGGGGACTATAAGAAGACACTTTATGTAACAGACATTTTGCAGAGATCAGATGGCAATTTAAGGGCAATTGTTTACAGCAAGTTAGGTCATGTAAAGTAGACTAGAAGGAATTTGAGATAGAAATAAATTATCCATAAATCTTAAAAATATAATTAGTGTGCCTATTCTTACTTTATTATATAAATAAATTTTCCATGAAATTAAAAATGAAGGTTAAAAGAAAAATCAATATTTTAATAAACTGAACTAGATTATATTGTATGAGAACCTAGGAGTTCGAGAACTGTCCAGTATTTTAATCAAATGATACTTCGAGAACCAGAAATCTAGGCTATTCATGGGAAGTAGACCACAAGCACATAAATACTAATGAAACTAATATTTAATAAAACTGGAAACTAAATAAGGAAAACAGGGGTTTGGCACAACCAAGGGTCTAAAAAATTAACTTTATATAACATATAAATTTATATTACAGTTCTAAAATTATATTACATTAATTCTATTACATAAAAATAAAGTTCATATGATACAATCAGGTTAGTACCTGGCTTTTCTCTTATCAAAACAATAGATGACTAAGTTAATAATTAATATAAATGCTGGATAAATAGGTAAACATAAAAATAACTATATATATAAAGTATTAATATTGCTGATACAAATGCTAACTATCAAATCTAAAAATCATCACTGCAATATCATCATCAATTCAATATTTCGGCTGAAGCCCACCCCTCCCCAAAATGTTAAGACAGCCACGTCTTATGAAATAAATACTAAAAACGTATCTCTAAAAGTAATAGTCTTCGTGTAATTAAGTTCAATAGGAGTTCAAGAATCATTTAAACACCATTTTATATAGGTAGTTAGTTTCTTTTTTTAAAAAAAAAAGCTTTCGGACTGAAACTCCCAAAATTAAATCCTGAATCAGTTAGAGATGTTTAAGGAAGTTCTTCCATCTTTTGCAAGTAAAAAGATTCTTTTAAAAGATGCAAGTAGAGATTCTTTTTATTAAGATTACAAAGTATAATACTAGATTCAGTATAATAAATAGTTCCTGATTTTCAAGGTTATCCCATCTGTATTGGGTAATGCTCATACGAAAGATTAAAGATTTCTTCTCAAGGTTTCTTATTTTCAAATACATAGCAAAATATCTCGGTCTGCAGATAGATAGTAGTAATTACAGTTATACATGTCAAAAGAAAATTAATTTCAAGTTAAATACCAAACAATTTGAAGGTTTAAAAACATAATCAATATAAGGAGGTGATACAGTATCACAGTACGTAATTGCATAACTGAAACAAATAATTTAAAAATAAATATAAATATCTGAATAGCTAAATACATAAATAAGTATTTTGGATGGTAACTTTAAAAAGACAGGAAAAATTAAACTATTTGTTTATTTGTAATTATGTACATATATTTAAAGTCATCAGAAAGGTTATAGTAAACCGATAAACACAATTAACAAGTAGTGCCAACTTTACAAAAAATAATTCATCTAAAGATTCCCAGTTTTTTGAAAAATAAAACTTTAATTTTCCACTTTTCAACAGAATTGAGTAATTTTAAATAAAACATTGCACATTAAATATCCAAAATTCATTAAATTAAATTAATACTTTGTATAAAATTACAGTATACATTAATACAGGAGAAGAAAAAAGAAAAATATTAAATTAAATTCCCACCATTTGAACTAAATCTGGAATTTTTTTTGGAAACAAAATTGTTAAAATTGATGTTCAAAATAAGAAAAAAAATGCTATATATAAGTACAATTTTACACAATTTCAACTGCTGTGATACCATTACTTGGTATCATAATATTTGGTAATGATAATTGGTTAATAAATATGATTCCGAATTTTGTAGCAGCCTTCTAAATTACCAGTAGATTCATTTATTAGAGAAGAAATATTAATAACAGACTTAATGCATTATTTTTAAAAACCTTAAGGCATTGTTTTTCCCTGGTGGTAAGAAGGAACAAATTTTAAATATTAAAATAAGGAAAAGGACAAAATAAAACTTCCACTCATGTTACTGTTTATTACTTATTATTTACAAAGTATTGTTCTTTAGAAACTGAACAATGCTCTGTGACACAAAAACATTTACATACATAAACATGCAAATCCATGCATTGACCATAAATTTAAAAAGTTTTTAAAAATAAATAGTTAAATAAATAAAATATCTAATTAAATACATTAAAACAAACAATACTCCAATAATTATGTAAAGAAAACTAATAATACACATAATGATGATTAAAAATAAAAATAATATATTTACAATGAAAATAGATAAAAATACAATGAAAAGAAAAATATACAAAAGCATTATATAACAACTGCCTTTATTTATTGGCATATCACAGAATTGTAATCCCTTTTTGATGTGAAATATATACAATACACAGAAAACATTTATCAGCTGAGATTTGCAAGGATTGGTGTAGAGCAGATGCACTTTATCTTGTCACAACGTGCACACAGCAATCGCTCAAGCTATACAACACAATAAATTAAAATAGAACATCATACTATTAAAAAAAAAAAAAAAATCTACATTACTTATAGTTTTTATCACACCATTTCATTTTTCAGAAATCTATAATAAAAGAACGAATAATTTATCTAAATGATCCAATGGTTTTTTTTATGGATACAAACATTTCACTTATAGTGTAAGCTTCTTTTATTCCACCTACAGAAAATCGATAACTTCAAAAAAAGTTATATGGCTAAAGGGAATAAACAACTTGGTAAGCAGAAAAAAATTTCTAATTAGATTTGTATTAAGCAAATCTCCAAGTCTGCACACCATGAAGAAACTTTTACCACACAGTTTTAAATCTTTTTTGAAGTTTAGACAAGAAGAGTGAAGTTACCTACTTCGCATTGCA